TTTGTCTTATTGCTTCATTCTTGTGGTTCCTCCCATTAGTTCTAATTGTTCTCTACATCATGACTAATGGGAAAATATGCTTAACGTGAATGTATAAGTAGAGCCTATATCAGATCGCACGCCATCTTGGGGGGGAAGAAGTGGGAGGAAGAGAAAATTTAAAACTCAAAATCTTATGGAAGTGAATGTTGAAAACTAAAAATAAATAAATTACATGCAATTGGGGAAAATAAAATACTAAATAAATAATTAAAAAATAAATTTGCCTCCACGCAACTCTGGTTCTGCCCATGGGGCCAAGCAGCACAAACAGAATCCCTGTCCCATATGACAGCCCTTCCAATCCTTGCAGATGATCCTCCTGAGTCTTCTTTGGGTGAAATAGCTCTGAGCATATTACCTAATCTTCTTAAGATGTGTGCCTCAAGGCCCTTTCTGCACACTTTCCACCTGATCGAAGTTGTTCTTAAATCATTGCTCCAGAAGGGTTCTGACCAGGCTGAGGGAATCCTTCACCTCCTTTCTGCTGGGGAGGTCTAGCACCTCTTTTAAAGTAGCCCAAGGACACCTTAGCTTCCTCCACGGCCAATGAGTCACGGGCTGACCTGGATGTGAGTCAGAAAGAGCCAGACCTGCCTCGGTTACTATGGGCGTGGATACAGAGACTCTCAGGCCTCAAGGGGCTTACCATCCAGAGGGGGAGAAACCGAAAAGGGGGTGGATCGGCCTCCCTGGCAAAGGAGGGGCGGGAAATGACCCGAGTTGGGTGAGTTAACGGGGCTGCATTCATCTTGCAGAACGACCGAGGTTCTGGAGACAAGGAGCTGGACGTGCAGGCCTCTGAGACCCCTCTGGTCCCAAGCCCCACACTCCACCTCCTCCCCCAGTCTTCCCCAACTGCCCACCGTGTCCCCCCCTCCGTGTGATCTGCTCCTGATGCGGAGCCCTCCGGATGCCCCAGAACTTACAGTCCAGCAGAAGAGGCAAGGACTCACAAATGCTGAACCTAAGGCAGCCCTGGGTAATCATGGAAGAAGCCAGACGTGGCGAGTGAAAAAAAAAGGGTAGGATTTGGAAGGAGGAAGAATGGATGAATAAGCACATAAGGGAGACGTTCTTGACCTGGGGTTTGTGAACTTGTATTTTTAAATATTTTGACAACTGTTGTTCACGTGTCTGACTCTCGGTGCCCCCATATGGGGTTAAGTGACTTGCCCAGGGTCATACAGATAGTGTCTGAGGCCAGATTTGAACTCGGTTCCTCCTGAGTCCATAGGTTTCACCAGACCAGAAGACCAAAGGTGTCCAAGCCCCCCAAAAGGTTAAGAACTACTGATTTATGTAAAGTTTACATTTATGAACCTGGAACTGGGCTGAGCTGGAACAGTACAAATACCGAAGGCAAGACAATGCATGCCCTCAAGCCATTTGCATTCTAGTAAGGCAAGCTTCCGCTCTGGAGAGTTACTCGGGAAAGCACTGAGGGAAGCCTGGGGGCAACGGGCAATGTTGATTGGTTAGTGTTTCTGTAGAGGAGGCGGAAAGCAGGTGTGGGGGGGAGCAGGGCAGAAAGGCAGACAGTTTGGGTGGATCCTCACTCATGAAGAGCCCAGGGCTCTGGGGCCAGAGTTGGGGCACCCGGTTTAAGGAGGAGACTGAAGCAGGCAGAGGGAAGCCCTGGTTCCACCATTTAGGGGCTATGTGACCTGGAGAAATGGTTTGACCCCTCTGAGCCTCCTCCAGGTACCAGGCCTGGCGGCCTGTTTGTGGAGGCTGCCACGCCTGCTGTAAGGCCTCAGCTTGGGCCTTTGGACCAACGGTGAGCTGAGGCTGGATGATTCTTACTACTTACAATAATTTATTCAACTGCCTCATACGTGACATCCCACACCTGTAGTCCCCAGCCTCCCCAAAGAGTCAGGAGGCCAGTACATTTTCACAATGCCTAGACCAAACTTGATCATTATAACTCAAGTGTTTGGCCTCTTCTGAGAAGACCTAGAGTCTGTTTTCTTCCAACAGCAATAAACTGAGAAGCCTGGCTTCCCTTGCCAGGCCCTGTCCTAGGCGCAGAGAAGAGCAAAACAGCAACCACAGCCTTCGCTCCTTGGGGCAGATGAGTAGAAGGACAGAAAGGAGGGAGGAGGTTGATGCGGCAAAGCACACAGCGTGCTCCCGTGAATGAGGACACAGAAGAGAGAACTCCGGGTGTGTGGAGAGAAGGGAGATGGTGAGGCAGGCCCTGACGGGGCAAAGCCTTCCAGGCAGGAAGACAACTTGGGGGAGCAGGACGGCTAGGCCGGCAGGGCCAAGGCGCGTGCGGGAGAAGTCGCAAAGCCAGCAGCTGGAGCCCCACTGTCTGAGGTCATGGAGTGACCAGCAATGGCTTGGACAAAGGCAGGGATTGTGGCTCGTCACGTGTGCAGATGACACAAAGCCGGTGGCAGGGGAGGGAGACAGCAGACACCCTGGGTGAAGTCAGGATCCAAAAGGACCATGACAGATTGGATGAGAGAAGATGAACCTTGGGAGGGATAAATGTAATATTTACACTTGGCCACAGAAAGTCACCTTGGCAGCCCAGAATGGGGGAGGTGTGGTTACAGACAGCAGGGGCAGCTCCTCTGAATAAAAGCCAGAGGCCTTACTGGTGTACAGAGCAGCCCCCAAAAGTAAATAAATAAAAAGCTAACACCATCGCTAACACCATCTCTTTTTTTGTTGTTTATCCTGTCTGACTCTTCTTGGCAAAGATACTGGAGTGGTTTGTCATTTCCTTCTCCAGCTCCTTTTACAGATGAGGAAACTGAGGCACACGGGGGAAGAGACTTGGCCAGGGTCATGAAGCTAGCAAGTGCCTGAGGCTGGATTTGAATGCAGATCTTCCTCACTCCAGGCCTCTGTCCATTATACCATTCCGCTGCAGTGGACATGGTGCCAGACTTGAGCTGGATTCAGATCCCATATAGATAAAGAGAACTCTTCCTGATCCCAGGTGCCACGTTTCAGAAGCGGTGATAAACCAGCGAGCATCCCGTAGCTGGCAACCAGGTGAAGAGCCTTGAAATTCTGCCATATGAGAGGCATCTAGGGGGCACAGTGGACAGAGAGCTGGGCCTGGAGGCAGGAAGAGTGGAGTTCACATCTAGCCTCAGACATTTACTAGCTCCCAGACCCTGGGAAAGTCAATTTAACGTTTTCTGTTGCCTCAGTTTCCCCAGCTGTAAAATGGAGATAAGAATGCCTTCCTCCCAGGGTTACTGTGAAGATCAGATATTTGTGAAGTGCTTAGCACAGTGTGCTACATAAATGTATACTGTCCTCATCTTTAATACTGTTATTCTCTGAGGGAACTAAGGTGCTTTGGCCTGGATGTGACAGATGCCTTCGAGTACCTAAAGGGCCGTCTCATAGAAGGGGGGTTCTACCTCTTCTCCTGGGCCCCAGAAGGTAGAAGCTGGAAAAGTGAGTGGGAAGGGCTACAGAGGTAGATTTCGGTTGCAATTAGAGTGACTCGCTTTGAGGTAGGTGTATGTGCTGAGCCTTCGCAGGTCTGGGGTACACTCCCCCACCGGCATGGGGAAAGTGGCCTCTAATCTGGGACCATGTGGCAAAAGGGCAACTCCTAGCTCCTCTGGCCTCCTTTCCTGGAATCCTCACGAGGTCCCTGAGGTGTGGGTAGCACTCTGCTGGGCCCCAAGGATGGCAGTCTTTGTAGCCCCTTGAAGCTGCATTTTTTGTGGACCCCAAAGGGGCCACACTCCCTGGAGGTGCCTTTCCTCAGTGTGGCCAGCTCCCATTAACGTTATTGGGTCGGTTCTAATGACACAATGCGGGGGGAGGGGGACACTACTTCTGGGGTCACTCCCCTCCCCCACCGCTATCCTCAGTCCTCAAAGTGATCTCAATGCTTCATTTCTGAGAGAAGCTGCTGGAATGCTTCTCTGACATACGTAGACCCAGAAGGGTGTCTCATTCAGGGGTTCCCATTTGGGAGTTGGAAACATGCTAAAGATGCTTTAATGGAGCCTTAAGCAGTAAATAACAGCCCAATCACGTTACAGATATATTTTCCCTCTGTGACACCCAGCATGTGCATGCTTGAAACATCATTTCTGCAGTGACCCCAAACTGTCATGGTCACACACACAGTTTTTGGGGTTCTGTATACAGCAGCTACAACAAATCTGATAGCCTCTGATGAGTTTTTGCAGTTTCTCAACCCGCCATCAAATTGTTCTCAAGCCACCACCAGGATTCAGCATTCTAATGCAGACCAACTCCCGAGGGGTGGCAGAAAGGGGGCCCACATTCTGTCCAGAGCTGCGCCCTCATTCTGTTGTGTTACCCTGTAATCATCCTCATCAGCTGTGTAATCACGGGATCCCCGTGGTCTCCAGTCGGTGTTCTTGAAGCACACACGGTGAGCTGTTTTCACCACTGGGCACACACCCGTGACACGCCACGATGAAATCATCATGGACCATCACAATATTCTGCAGAAGCAAATCTTCCGTGGCCTCTCATGGAAGTTCTGAGGCTGACGTTCAATTTAAACTTACCTTCTGCTTATATTCTTCTTCTATAGCGGACATTCAAACGAACTGATCAGCAACACCGGATGTTTCTGTGAAAGCCAGACCCAGTGTGCCAGTGGTAGAAAAGAGAGAGTGTGTCTGTAGAGAGCCTTCCCTTCCCAAGATTAGTTTATGTATAAGCACTGTTAAAAAACAATGCAATCTATGCAACTGTGTCCTAAGGACACTTACCATTTAATACAGCACTTGGGATAAGGGGTAGACAAGTAAATACTTTATAGTCTAACTAGCTATGCATTTGCATTGATTAGTTAGGTGGCCAAAAATAAAAAATGAATTTCCATCTTTCAGCAGAAAACTTAAAAAGTTCTCCTGCCATTTTCCCCCTCTTCTTTGTGTGGGCAGGCATTTTTACGCTATTCTTGTTCTAAATGGAAACACAAAGATTAACTTGACGAAGAACCAAATTTAAGACTGCTTATCTAGCATTGAACCAAATATTACAAACTTTTATTCAAATAAAGCCCAGCATCACAATTAACTTTACAGGTGATTGTGATGTTCTATTAAACATCTTCCAAGTTGCAACTTCCTTCAGTAAAACTGCTTTTCATATTTAACAACCTGTAAAACAAAGAAATTTAATAACAAGTCTTGCAAATAAGCAAATAAGGTCTTACTGGATTACTCTTTAATTCTTGCAGAATGTCCTACAAAAAGCATTCATAACTATTTTCTAATTAGCTTTATATTCAGAACTTTTAACCAGTCCTAATATACCTTGTCATCAGATTTCATCAGTGGCCTGGAGCACTTGTTATACACACCTAGTTTATAGCTCTTATTAATTAAATGATTCAATAGAGGTACCTAAGGAGTGTTCACCAGAACTCAATCATAAGCACTCTCCACGTAAAGATGTCTGGTATAGGGCAGCTTGTCAGCTGCCATATTCATCTACTACACTCTTCCCACACTCTTCCATTTGTCGTCCTCAGCAAATCTATTGGAATACACTTGGTAAAGTTCCTAGTCTCAGATTCTGGCTGGCCCTGGTGACCTCGGGAAGCCCGGAATCATCCTTTCTCAATTCCTTCCCCAAGGATTTTCCTCAAATGCAGGTGGATCCCTCCCGCCTCCTTTCCCAACTCGGTTCGGGTGTGCACAGACCTCTGTGACCCAGCCTAATTGCGTCGGTCCATTTCCCGTCTCTGCACTGGCTGTCCCAGATGACTCTTCCTGGTTTTCTCCAAGATTCAGATGGAGCCCTGTCTGTGCAGGAGGCCATTCCTGGGAGCCCCCTCCCCTTTTTTGAGGGCTTCCTCCTCCCAAGTGACCTTTCTACTCGGAGTTTATCTTTGTCTATACCTCTACTGCACATACCACGTTACACGTGTCCTCTGGCTCCCATTAGACTATAAGTTCCTGGAGGGCAGGGGCCATTTCATTAGACTTCGGATCCCCACATAATTACAGCAATAATCAAGTTTAAGTAACTGCCTTTAAGGTTTGCAAAGGATTCACCCCACATGACCATCCAGCATTCTGTCACTCAGCATTTAAGTGCCAGCTGAGTATTCCAGCGGGGTGTGCTTTAGCCCTGGGGGGGTGGGGTGGGGCAGCTAGTGACAGACCACAGAGATGGGAGATAGAACCAGGTGTGTGCCAGCGCAGCATTTAGGTCAAGTAGTTGGTTTATTTTAGGCCTGGGGGCAATAAAAGGGCCCCTAAGGTCCCCAGAGTTCTCTCTCTAGCTTTGGGGGGATTGTTTTAGATGAAAAGTCCTACTTGCTCTGAGCCCTTCGAAAAATTCCTCACATCAGGTTGTGGTTGGGTTCCTTTCTCCATAGGCTTAATACAGTTTATTGTAAATACTTTGATAACAGAACTTTTGAGTGTCTGAGGACTGACAGGCATGGAAAGGGGAGCTGCTGGGGAAAGGGCTGACCTGTTACTCTTGGGACTTCCTAGGCCTCCCCTCTTTGCTGTGACCTCTGAATTTCCTCCTTGGTGTCTGTGTCTTCCCCCTCAATAGCTTCTCTCTCTCACTTAGACAAATTGCTTAGAGAATGACCCAGTCTCTCCCAGTGGGGACTGGTTCAAAGGAAGTCAATGCTCATTCTTCAATATTCTCTCACCCAGTTAAGGCGCCAATGCAAGCTGATTAAGCACCTGCTAAGTGCAAGGCCTGTGCTAAAGTGCTGGGGATACAGAGAGACAAAAGCCAGTCCCCGCCCCAGGGGAGCTCCCAATTAAATGGGTGAGAGGACACTAATTAAGCAGGGAAGGCACTGGAATTAAAGAGTTTCCCCAGTAGGATGCCTGAGGGCAGGAGCCAAAAGATAGAGAGTCTATGTTCTTGGAAGAGCCAGGAAACATCAGAGCCAAAGAGGGTGGTTTCAATCCCACCCTTAGAACAGGAAGGAGTGCTGAAGTGGAGAGAGGGCCTTGAGTCAGGAAGACTCCTCTTCCTGAGTCCACATCTGGCCTCACACACTTAGCCTGTGACCTTGGGCAAGTCACTTCACCCTGTTTGCCTCAGTTTCCTCATCTGTAAAATGAGCTGGAGAAGGAAATGGCAAACTTCACTAGTATCTCTACCAAGCAAACCCCAAATGGGGACATGAAGAACTGGACACGACTGACTGAACAACAAGACAGTGAAAACTGTTAAATGCTAAGTTGAAGAATTTCTATTTGATCTTTGATGTAACCATAAATCAACACGCATTTATTCAGCTTTTACTAAAGATCTGGCACTGTGCTGGCACTGGGGATGCAAGTACAAAGGAAATGAACAGTAGCTTTTATTGTTAAATGGGGAGACATCAAGCACATAGGAAAAGATATCAGGGCAGGGTGAGGAGCCTGGGGCCTCGAGGCCACATGCGGTCCTCTAGGTCCTCAAGTGCGGCCCTCCGACTGAATCCAAAGTTCACAGAACAGATCCCCTTCATAAAAGGATTTATTCTGTGAACTTGGACTCTGTCAAAAGGCTGAACCTGAGAACCTAGAGGGCCACATGTGATCTCAAAGCCACAGGTTTCCCACCCCTGAACAGGTCATAAATATAAAGTGAATAAATACAAATATTCAAGTAGAAGATGGTGCTCAAGCTTCGTGTTCAAGGCAGAGAAGGGACTCTTGAAGGAGGAGGGAATTCCAGGTATGAGGGACAGCTAGTGCAAAGGCATGGAGGTGGGAGATGGATTTGTTCGATAGCCTGGTGCGGGGAAATGACTTCAGGGTGATGTGGGTCTGAACTAAGCTAGTAGTTTTTTTTATTAATTTATTTTGATTTATCAAAGTTTAAAATTTTTCTCCCCCTCCCCAAGACATTACACAAACTGATATAGGCTATACACATACATTCCCATTAAACATATTTTCACATTAGTGATATTGTAGGTAAGAATTAGAACCAATAGGAGGAACCACCAGAAAGAGGGAACAAAACACAACAGGAGAAAAAAAATTAGCAAACAGTATGCTTTGATCTGCATTCAAACTCCATAGTTCTTTCTTAAGCTATTAGTTTTCAGGGTAGAAAAAGAGATGTTGGAGAGGTTTAGAAGGTGGAAATGGCAACATCTGGCCACTAAGTGGATATGTGCAGTGAGGGAGAGTAAGACTATTCTTAAAGTCAGGGAGACTTTGAATGAAATGGGGACATTTGGGACAGGAGCCGGTAGGAGGGGAGAAGATGATGAATTGAGTCCTAGGCTGAATTTGAGATGTCTTTCAGTTCAAAATGTCTAATATGAGACTGAAGCTCAGGGGAGAGATTGCGAGTATGTATACGGCTGGGAGTTATCTGCCTAAAGACAAGTGCTAAGTCCTGGGAACTGGGAAGATTACCAGATAAGAGGACTGAATGGGAAAAGACAGGATGGCTCAGGACAAAGTCTTGGACGAACCCCCACAGTCAAAGCCCACAATGTGGATGATGAGCCAGAAGAAGCGGTCAGACACGGTCAAAGCCCACAATGTGGATGATGAGCCAGAAGAAGCGGTCAGACAGGTAGAAGGTAGTGTCACAAAGACCCAGAGGAGGGAGGACGGTCAGCAGCATCGAATGCCACAGGCAGGCAGAGAAGGACGAGGCCAAGAAGAGACCATGAAGCTTGGCCTGAAGAGGTCACGAGTGACTTCAGAGTTGGTGGACAAGGGCAGAAGCAGGAATGCAAAGGGTTGAGGAATGGTGAGAGGAATCCAGAGCAGTGAGTTGAGCACAGAATGCATTTCCACGGAATGAGGTTGAGAAAGGGAGAAGAGCTCTAAAACAATGAGGATCTAGAGCAGGGGTGGGGAACCTTTGGCCTTGAGGCCACATGAGGCACTCTAGGTCCTCAAGTGTGGCCCTCTGACTGAATCCAGGGGGCCACACGTGGCCTTGAGGGGAAGGTTCCCTACCCCTAGAAAAAGGTTGTTTTTAAGGATGGTGAGACGTGGGCCTGTCTGAAGGAGAGAGAAAGGGGGATGACGGAGGAGCAATCACATGGGGGGATGGGGTCCCATGCAAACGCACAGGGTTGGCCTTGGCAAGGAGCGGGGCCATCTTTTTGTGAGAGCCTTGGGAAAGGATGAGAAATGGGAGATGATATGCAGGAGTTCTGAGATAAAAATGGCGGTGGGTGGTCTCCATTTTCTCAGTAAAATAAGAAGCAAGGTTCCCAGCTGAGAGCAGGAGGGGGACAGGATCAGGAATGGCAGGAAGGCTTTGCTACACAGACCCAGGGGCCAGTTTCTGAGATCGCTTCTAGCTCCTCTGGCAGTCCCTGAGCTGGTGCTGAGCCATGGCCACGGAGGGTCTCTGTGCCAGGACGAGGGGCTCTAGAGCAGAGGGCAGTACAAAGCTCAAAGGGTCACCACTAAGTAGAGACGGGAAAGGGAGGGGAGTGGTCAAAGCACAAAGCAAATCCCAGAGGGCAAGAGCCGTGCAGGTCTAAATGGGCTTGGCAGGTGTAGAGTGCAGGGGAAGGGGTCCTGCAGGGGAGGGCACCTACAAAACCTCGGGCAGGAAAAGCAGGCACGGAGCTGGCAGCTAGGGTGACGTCATTGCCTCCGGGGCTCCCAGACTGTGAACTGGAGCCCCGGGCAGCTCTGGCCCCCAGACCCAAGCTTCAAGGAATGCAGCCGTAAAACCAGAAAGGATGGACGGGGCGGGGGCGATTTCACACATGTTGAGGGGTCAAGAGGGACAACACTGCGGCGGAAGAGGAAATGAGGTTCCCGTCCTGCCCAGACATTTGTCTAGGGTGTCATGGTCTTGAGCCGGGTGGCCTGGTCACCTCTGGGCCTGTTTCCCCGTCTGGACAAGGATGGACTCCTAGGTCCTTTCAGTTCAGATCAGCTGGGGGGGGGGGTGCCTGAGATCACGTGGCAAAGCGCTACCACAAGGTCGGTGAGCATTACTGCTCTGGGCCAGAGAGGAGCGGGCCCAGCTCCCTGCGCATGCGCCCCCCCACCCCCATCCCGGCGGCCGCGGCCTGGCGCCGACTCCGAGGCCGTGACCTCTTCTCCAATCAGGGGGAAACTTGCTCCCCTGGGCGAAGGGGGTAGGGGTGAGACGCGAGAACTCGGCGCAGCCAATTCCGACCATCTCTGCGCATGATGGACTGTACTCAGCTCAGCCAATGAGAGGACCGCTACTCCTTGACGTCATAGTTGGCCTCCATCCCCCCACACGCACCCAGGTAGCCTAGAACTCTGTTCGCGCAGTAACAAATGGAGAGCGCGCCGCGCCCCCTCCCACCCCCGCCGCCATTTCCTCTCTCCTCCTAACGGCTCGGGCCAATCCCGGCTCACCCAGCGCCCGGCCGCAGCTCTGCCAATCCGAGCGCTTCCATCCCCGCCCCGGCTCGAGCCTCCACCAATCGGCGGCGGGCGCCCTGTCCGCTGGCCCGCCCCCCCCCGTCCCCGGCGCCCCCCTCCTTCCTCTTTGTGCGTCTCGCGCTGCCCGCCCGCCGCCGCTGTCGTCGTCGCCGCCGCGCCCGCCGCGTGAGAGGAAGGAGCTCGCGCTCGGTCGCTCGCAGTGCGGTCCGGTTCGCTCGGAGGAGGCTCGCCGCCCGTGCCGCGACCCCACGAAGGTTCGCGAAGCCGAAACCCAAGTCGCCGACCCGGAGCCGCCGTCACCGCCCCAGCCGCCGCCGGCGCCGGTCCCCGGGGGCGCCATGGCGACCGGAGCGAACGCCACGCCGCTGGGTAAGCTGCACCCGCCGGCCGCGGCCCCGCCCGGTCTTCCCCCGGGGCCCGGGCCTAAGCGGGTCTTCGAGCCGCCGCCGCGCCGCGCCGCCGGGGCCGGGGGGGAGCGGGCCGGGGCCTGGGGCGGGGCTGATGGCGGCGCCGCTGGCCGCGGCCTTCCCCTTTACGGCGCTGCCGCCGCCGCCGCCCCCGCCGCCGCCTCCCGCAGCCGCTGCCGGTCCCGGCCCGGCCTCCGGGCCCCAGCCGCCGGGCCCCGCGTACCCGCAGGCGCAGCCGCCCCCTCCGCCGCCGCCTTCTTCGCAGCCGCCCCAGCCGCCGCCGCCGCTCTTCCAGCACGTGTCTCCGCCGCAGCCACCGCCGCAGCCGCTCCAGGACCCGCAGCCGGGCCCGGCCGGCGGGGCAGGAGGTGAGTCGGACGCTGAGAGCAAGCGAGAGAGAGGCCGGCGGCGCGCGGACAGGCCCGCTGTCCGAGGGGCGCGCGACACCACGGCGGCGGCACGCGGCGGCGGGAGCGCGCGCGCAGCGGGGGGGCGGTGGGAGGGGGTGGGGGGGCCGGCCTGGCCAACCCGGGCGGGGGGGGGGCGCACACCGCCGCCACTTACGCGCGCAGCCCGAGCCTGGGGAGCGGCCGGCGCGCACGCGCCGTCCTCGCCAGGTCGGGAGGGGAGGCGGGGCAGGGGCGAAAGCGCTGCGCGCACGCGCGGCCTGTTGGCTGGGCTCGCTGGAGTTTTGTGGTGCGCCTGCGCGCCTTTGAAAGCAAGTGGAAGGGGGAAGCGGGCCCGAGCCGGGGCAGGTTCAGCCGCGGGCGCCTCCTGGTGGACGGGTGGAGAGGGAGGGGGGCCGGGCAGCTCCCGCCTCGTATGGGGCGAGCGAGGCCTGTGAGAAAGGAGGGCAGGCGGCCGTGGAGGAGCCTCGGCCATGCTGGGCCACCCGGGCGGTGAGAGCGGGGCGCCGGGGGCTGGGGAGGGGGCGTCCGCCGACCTCCCTGGGCCTGCTTGAAGCCGCCTGGGTATAATGGGGGGACTCTGAGTCTTGGCCTGTCCCCCGACGTGCTGTGATGGCGGGGCTCAGGGTTCCCTCAGTCCCCCCCTTTGTTAGTAGAGGCTGTTAGTGGATGGGAAGCCTGGTGAATCTGAGGTCCGAGTCCAGTACCGGGTGGCTACGAGGTCTGGGAGTTTGTAGTGGCGGGATGCTTATTAAGTTTGGGGTCCCCTGAGGTCCCCCTCCACCTTTTTCGCTTGTGGAAGGTCGAGATCCGTATCTTTGCACCGGGATTGGCCGTCCCTTGGCTCGCTGTCCAGTTGTACGCTTGCAGGTTTGTGGGTTGTGTTTGGGTCTAATGAACCGCGTCTGCCCTCAGATTTCCCAAATAAGAAGAGGAAGAGGAGCCGATGGAACCAGGACACAATGGAACAGAAGACAGTGATTCCAGGAATGCCAACCGTCATCCCCCCTGGCCTTACGAGGGAACAAGAAAGAGCTTATATAGGTAAATACACGTTCTGCACGCAGATATGTTGCATCGTGTTATAGTTCATCTGAGAAATGTCACTGACTGCTGAATGAAGTGTTAAACATTGATATTTTCAAAATTTTTGAGATTTGGGCTATTGTCAGGTGTGCTTGCTTAACATTTTAACTCACCAGTTTTTGCCTAATGAGTACTGCATTGTGCAGCCCTGTCCTGCTCTGTTCATGACAGCAGTGGTCTCCATGGGTGCCAGGAGGGTGTGTTCATAGGGGGTGGTAGAATCCCTGGGACTTAGAATGAGATTAGTCTCACCCAAATTTTCCCTCAAAACAACTGATTAAGTTAACTTAATGAGGTTGGGGGAAAGGGAGGGAATCAGGCCTCTTTAAGTCAGGAGTTCCAGGGGACCCCAATGAACAGGAGCTTGTGGAAACAAGTGACCCTTCCTTTCCCCAAGAAGTATGGCTTCTTCCACAGTGGTACCATGGTGTGGCCTGAGAGGGGCAGAAAAAGCCAGAAGAGCTGAATTTAATGTCAGAGGTGCTTAAGAGAAAAAAACTCGGTGATGGTTTATCTTTTCCTTACGTTTGGTTCCAGAACGTTAACCTTCCCTTCAGCATCTGTTCTGGTCTCTGAAACTGTTTTAAGCAGAGGCTCTTGTATCTGCTCCCAAAGAACTTTGCTGGGAAAGGGATACTGTTTGGGGATGGAGCTGAGGGTGGGTAGTTGAAAATGTCTAATGTTCCACGGGGAGACACAGGACATTTCAAATGTTAAAAGAATTCTCTCTGTATTGGGAATAATTACCACATTGCAGTTGAAGTTAACCTCAAAGTGACCTGTCTTATTTTTTTTTTTATATAAGGTTTTTAATGCAGGCATTTATCTTTATTTGCCAACTTGTATAGGTGTCTAAAAAAAAGTCAATTTAAACAGTTTATTTTCCATCAAGGAGGCTGTGTAAATTTTTCCTCAGGCTCCTGAGGCTGTGGCCTTAAACAAATCCAGAGGCCTCTTCAAGGCAGGCAGCGAGGGTGTTTTCCTGGGTCAGTGCCACGGATGTCTTTTTTTGCCTTTGTGAACCTGAGAATTTTGGCCTCTTTGCTGGGCAGCCAGAGGCTCTGTAGGTGCAGACGGCTCCAGATGCAGGCCTTCTGATTGGCCTTCCTTACCCTGGAAAGCCTGCCCTCTAGTGGACAGTTGCTCTGGGAAACTACCGACCTTAGAAGAGATGAGAGAGACCCTCATCCCTTGGAAAGCAGCCCAGTGCTGTCGACTCCTTTGTACCTTAGGTCTCTGTGTTAACGGACAAAGCCCCAGAGTTATTTACAGCAGCAATCAGTGTAGAGTCAAAGGGCAAGCCGGGGTAGATCTCAGCTAACTGCAAACCACAGGACTTCAGACATTACCCGCCACTGGGGGAGGGGATTGCATCAAAGTCGTTAGTGTGTTGGGCGTCTGTCCGGAAGTCCGAGGGACGCTGTGTCTCGTGAGTCTCCCACGCCCACATTTCAGTGAGTAAGTTGTAATCCTGAAGGTGACTTTCACCTTGGGCCGCTGAACCTGGGCTGCTTTGACTTCCAAGGTTTTTATACGGCAGAAGAGACGAGACTAGACACCTTCACTTGGAGGTACATGACGTCCCATTCAGTTACAGGCTTGGTGTAGGCCATTGTCCCTGGTTGTAGGTGTGCCTAACAGTCGAAACTCTCAGTTGGTTTAAAGGTAAGAAGGAGGTGATTATTCAAACATCTTTGGGGGAAATGGTCTTGTGTCCCTGGGTGCTACAGGTCTCATTATCTCTGAAGTCAAGTAACGATGCTCAGGGACACTGGTAGATTATTATCATTATTATCATCATCATTATTTATTACAGTTGTGAAACCCTCACCTTCCTTTCTTCTATACAGCCTCAAATGTCGGGAACCAAGGTGGGGGGTCACATGTTACTCCCATTTGCCCTTTGTGCCTGTCCCCCTAAAATCTTTGCGGTAAAAAAAACAAAACCAAAAACAATTCTTGCATCTGTGGCTATTGGTTTGTGTATATTGCTTGTAATCTAACACTTGAATAGCAGGTATATTAGCAGCTATACCTAATGTGGATGGGCCTGATAGGATGAAATAGGATGGATGTGAATTTCTGTGTTGTAAGGTGTTTGAAGTGATAACCAGATTATCTTAAGAGGGGGTTTGGAAGGAGAATCAGTATGCCCAGTAGCATGATCCACACTGGAAAGGAAATGGTCTTAGGTCAACTGGTATCACTTTCGTATTATTAATCCTCTCCTGTGTTAATTAGTCCTCAGCACAGACCACTTGTTTTAATTGGGGGGGGGGAAGAAAGAAAAAAGACTTTTGGCCCTGACAAGATTAATTTGGTGGGGCAGGGGTATTGCTGATGTCCATGATTTATATCTGTTAGCAGTTGTAGCAAACTGTTAGGCCAAGTAGAGCAGAAACATCTCACCTCCCCACAAATTGTTTTGTTGTCAGCCTTAGTCGTTAGGCAGCCTTTATTGCTAACCCCTCTTCCAACAAACTGTTTGCTTCCCAATTGATAACCTTCTCTGAAGAGAAAAATACCTAGAGATATAAACGGACTCCTGCCGAAGTATAAGATTGGTAGGTGGTTGGGGGTTTTCCTCAGTTTGTTCCCTGGTCAGTCATCCCTTTCAAAGTCTCCAAGTTCTTCATGCTTTGATGTTGAGATTTGAAATGTTTTTTGGTAACATTGTCTTTTTTCCATCCTTTTTTTCTTTCCTAACCTGGTTTCTTCCAGTGCAACTGCAGATAGAAGACCTGACTCGCAAACTGCGCACAGGAGACCTGGGCATCCCCCCTAACCCTGAGGACAGGTTGGGAAACAGTTTTAACCAGCTGACAGTAACGCTTTTACCTTTTTCTCAATACATTTTTGGTGGCAACATAATGTGTCAGTTCAATGCAATCCTGATAAGATGCCTTTGGTACTCTGACTCTTTGGGGAACTAAGATTTAAACACAATTCTATATAACAATATATGTGAGCAGTTAACAGTTAGAAATTTGGAACGGAACTTAATTTTTAGCAAAACCAAAAGTCTGCAGGAAATGGACAACTGGTTTCCAATTGGTAAGCGTGTAGATTTGAACCTGTTCCTGGTACAGGGCAAGTCAGGTGGCCAGTTAACTGACCTTTCAGAGCCTGCTTTGGCCATGAGCCCACGTAGCATCTTCCTCACAGGTACACACGGTGCAGGATTAAGAACACATTTTTTTGTGCATCATTGAGGTTGAAGCAGCCCAGAAACTTCATCTGGGGAGCTGATAACGCCCGTTTTCTGCTCATGGTTTTGAGATGGTTTTAAAATCAGATGAGATTTCTAACCAACTTCCTTCACTGCCAGCTAATAATATTGCAGCTTTGGCCAATGCCTGGGGGTGTTGGGAGGAGGGCCTAGGGTCTCTCCTCTGTTTGGGGTGAAGGGCAGCCCTACAACCTTTTTTGAAGGGGGAAATGGGGCCCTCCAAAAACCAGCTGTGGTCGCATTGGTCTTTCAGCTCACAGTCTCGGACCGTTGCTCTGAGGGGACTTCACTTTTTTAACCAGTTTTATTGGCTTGTGGATCTTGGAATAGCTGCGATCTGGTTGTCTAAGAGGAGGGCAAGAATCCCTCCATTTACATTCGATTTTCGGTTAGAGCATGCAGCACAATTGAGCTCATTTTGCTTTAAAACTCGAGTTTTGTGTCTAAGTTTTTGGCTTTCATTACCCAATTAATGGTGCATTAAATCAGGAAGATGATGTAATAATGGGCCGCAGGCCACTCACTCATGCATCTTTCTGCTGCCCTTTGTTTGCCAGGAAACAAATTAACTTCCTTCCTTCTCCACATTGACCCCTTAGTTTTACTTATCCCATTACATTTCATTAATTTTTCACTTGCAGTGTTTTGTCGTGGGTTTGGGCTGTTTTTTCCTTTTTTTTTTCTTTTTTCTTTATTTTTTTTGGAGGGTTACGTATTCTAGGTTACAGACCACAACTGTAGAGTGCCCTTTTGGCTTTTTTCCCTTTAACTATGTGTTTACAGGTTACTAAACCAGTCTCTAAAAAGGTGAATTTTTAACAAACCTGTTGCTCCCTGGAGGAATTGGGATTAGAGTTTAGTTTTACTGTTATGGAAGTGAAGAAGTTAAACCAATCTAACCACTAGAAAGCTAGCTTTTGTTTTTCCTTGATCATGGGAAGGGGTGAAATTGTTACGAAGGCAGTTTTGTGTGAGGGCTGGAAAGCCAAACTTTGTCCACAAATCAGGCAGCCAGAAATGCCCATTCCCTGATAGAGAAGCACAGGTCCAGGGCGGAATCTGGCCAGGGTTGTCTGATCTTCTAAATGCAAGCCTGGGATTAGAAATCAAACCTGAGCAAAGCCGAGTTTTTCCTTCCCCACCCATTCATATGGAGAGAGTCCATATGGCCAGGGTTGGAGGCAAATGCACAAATCAGTTTCCTATCTCACTAAACATTGCTTAAGAAGGTTAACCTTGAAATTGAGCCACTTAATGCAATTGCATTGCTGCTTAACTTGCCCAGTTTAAACTGTTAATGAGCCTCTTGTAGCTTAAATGTTACACCTTACGATGGGGTAGTAGAATGACAATGGGGGAGTCTTGTTTGCTGGTGACTTCTTGGATCGTGCTAGAAACGGAGGTGTCCTTAGTCGTCATCAGTCATGAACAAACCTGACCTTTTATTCTACCGTGTGTCTAACAAACATGTGGCGTGACATGGTTCCTTTAGGCTGAGAAGACAGTGGGAGCAGCCGCTTTCAGTCCTTGCTCTCCAGCTAGGCAAGGCGAGGGCCTCTCATCTCAAACCAAGGCTACTCCAGGATGGTTTTTGATAACCTGATCCATATGCTCTCTTCCCTTCTTGCAGCTGCTACTAAATTGTCATTCACAATGTCAAGCTCTGGTCCTTTTTATAACCATACTCAAAATTCTAGGAGTGTAACCTCTTTTTTTATCACTGCAAAAACAGCTGTGGTAAACTGACCTTTTTATAATTGGTATTTTTTTACTTGTAGCAACAGCATTTTACTCTTTAAAAAAGAGAACGAATCTGCTTTGCTTTCTGGGCTTGTAAACCCTGTGGGAGAGCGAGATGGGCTTTCCCCACCCTTGCTGTTTGCAGGCTCAGACCGTAGGCAGGTGTTTGACCAAATCTGCATTTGCAGCCTCTTCTAGAAGCTGCATTACCATTTTAACGATTTTCTCTACTCAGACTCCCCAACCTCTAACCCTTAAACAGCCAGAAAACAGGTTGACTCGTGGGCCTTGGGTGCAGCCTGCCAGGACATTGATGGAAAAGCAGACGCGAAGCCTTGAACCATCTCTCTCCATTGTGGCAGCCATGTAGCTGCGGTAGCCTTGAGTCCCAGTTAGACTGGATCAAAGATTTAATCCTAATGATAGCTTACATTATGGAATAATAAATAGTTGTGCTGTTTTGGGGGGTACAGGCATTCTCTCCCTAGTAGAGCACAAGGTCTCTAAGAATATCTAAATTTTGGCTTCATGGCTCATTACGTTGCATAAGACATTCATGTCAGTTCAAGTTTTTTCTCAGTTTAAACACCATGAGTTATACTCCCCCCCCCCAAGTGTGAGAGTGTGGCTGAGATCCACAATTATTCTTATTGCCCCCAGCATCCCCACCAAGGACAGAATCCATTTTTTCCTTTCGTCCCCTTTCCTCTTCTCTCGCTTCTCACCCCCCAGTGTTGTAAGCCAGCTTACGCCTCCCCATTGCACACTATATTGAATAGCACACGTTATGGTCGGTTCCTCCGAACAGAGTGGCATTTAGGGTCTGAGAGGTAGGGGGGTCCAGGGGAAGACTAATTATAGTCCTGATGGGACAGGCAGAGGGGTGGAGAGTTTGACGCCGTGCTGTTTCCCACAGGTCCCCTTCCCCTGAGCCCATTTACAATAGCGAGGGGAAGCGACTCAACACGAGGGAATTTCGGACCCGGAAGAAGCTGGAGGAAGAAAGACACAACCTCATCACTGAGATGGTGGCGCTCAACCCTGACTTCAAACCACCTGCAGATTACAAGTGAGGGAGGGCCGAGTTAGAACCTCAAGTGGGCTAGCTTGAGACTGAAGCAGATCGGTCCCATTTTCCTTGGCTTTCCTGTCTATCTAAACCGGGAGGGTTGTAGACAAGCTTTTAGAGCTCTTGACCTTGGCTGTCTCTTAGGATAGGTAATAGAGGGCATTGGGGGAGAGGTGTTGGGACCTTGAGAATATGATCTTGAGAATGTGTTATCTTTTGTAGACCTCCGGCAACCCGGGTAAGCGACAAGGTGATGATACCGCAAGATGAATATCCAGAAATCAACTTTGTGGGACTTCTCATTGGGCCCAGGTGAGTGCTGCCTCAGGAGAGAGAAGCCATGCAGACTAGAGCCAGCACTTCGGGGCTTGTCAGAGGCTGCTTTTCCTTCTAGGTTTTTGGTAGGGAAAAGCACTTGAGCTGGTCTATAGCTTCCCTGTTTTACCACAGAGAAATCAAATCCTCCGTAACCAGCTGCTTGAGCAGAGGCCACGTGGGCGTGGGGGGGGGTGGGGGAATGCAGTTCTTTGGAGTTTCAGTTCCTCATGAACACCGCCTAGCCCATTCTTTGGTGCCCACCTTTTCTTTCTGACAGGAGTCTTATAATTATTAATCCTCTCTCGCTTTGCATGTACCTCATAGGGGCAACACCTTGAAGAATATTGAGAAGGAGTGCAATGCCAAGATTATGATCCGGGGGAAAGGGTCCGTGAAGGAAGGCAAGGTTGGGCGCAAGGATGGACAGATGCTGCCAGGGGAAGATGAGCCCCTGCATGCCCTAGTTACTGCCAACACCATGGAGAATGTCAAAAAGGCAGTAGAGCAGGTAAGTGAATATTGGCAAGGTTTTACAACCCCTTTTTTAAAAATCACTGGCTTGTCCCCACATTGCCTTTTCTGCCAGTACCTGTGCCCAGAGAGCCATTTCTTCTAACAGACAGGAAGGGGAGGGGGGGGGAAGGCAGTTCAGTGTTCCATACATCAGCAGAGAAGGGAGGAAAGAGCATTTTCATATCTTTGGGGCAGAGCCAAGCTGGCCACCTTAATTAACATGTATTTTCGGGTTAGGCTTTTTTTTTTTTCCATCTTTCCATTTGCATCATAGACATGTTTCTATTGCATAAGTTCATAGAAGTCACTTTTTATGCTTCTTTGTGTCCTTACTCTTTTTTTAAATTTTATTAGTTTATTTTGATTTATCAACAATCACTTCCATATGCTTTTGAGTTTAAAATTTTTCTCCCCCTTCCTTCCCACCACTCTCCCCAAGACGGCACACAATCTGCTACAGGCTATACATTTATGTTGCTATTAAACATTTTCATATTTTCACATTAGTGAAGTTGTAAGTAAAAATTAAAACCAATAGGAGGAACCATCAGAAAGAGGAAACAAAATTCAACAGGAGAGAAAAAAAATGATAGCAATTTAACTTCCATAGTTCTTTCTTTGGATGTGGACAGCATTTTCCATGCCGAGGCCTCTGGAGATGTCTTAGATCCTTGTGATGCTGAGAAGGGTTCAGTTTAACAATATTAGTCATCACACAATGTGGCTGTTATTGTGTACAAAGTCCTTGGTTCTGCTCACTTCACTCAGCATCAGACCATACAAGTCTTTCCAGGTTTTTCTGAAGTCAGCCTGTTCATCATTTCTCATAGCACAATAGTATTCCGTTACATTCATATACCACAACTTGCTCAGCCATTCCCCAATGGATGGGCATCCTCTCAATGTCCACTTCTTTGCCACTACAAAAAGAGCTGCTATGAATATTTTTGTACATGTGGGTCCTTTTCCTATTTGTTTGATCTCTTTGGGATATAGCCCTAGAAGTGCTATTGCTGGGGCAAAGGGTATGCACATTTTTATAGCCCTTTGGGCATAGCTCCAAATTGTTCTCCAGAATGGTTGGCTCATTTCACAACTCCACCAACAATGCATTAGTGCTCCAATTTTCCCACATCTTCTCCAGCATTTATCATTTTCCTGTTTTGTCATGTTGGCCGTTCTGATAGGTGTGCTGTGGTACTTCAGAGCTGTTTTGATTTGCATTTCTCTAAATCGATAGTGATTTAGAGCATTTTTTCATATGACTATAGATGGCTTTAATTTCTTCATCTGAGAACTGTCTGTTCCTATCCTCTGACCACTTATCGGCTGGGGAAATCTTACTCTCTTTTTAAAGCTTAGTGGTGTTCCCAGACATTGATATTATAACTGTAGTTTATTTGGCTGTTCCTCACTTACGGGTGTATTTTTTCCCAGTTCTTTATTATTACAAAAAGTGATGGCGTAAGTAGTTCGATTCATGGTCCTTTGGCCTGTGTTTGGAGATCTAGGAGTTCACTTGACCTGCTCCATTTACCCCTTAACCTCTGTAACTTCCTAGATTCGGAACATTCTGAAACAGGGCATTGAAACCCCGGAGGACCAGAATGACTTACGGAAGATGCAGCTTCGAGAATTAGCCCGCTTGAATGGGACTCTCCGGGAGGATGACAACAGGTGTTTATTTGGGAGGGGTCTTGAGAACTGTTTTGGAGGGAAGGGGGGGTAGGGGGGGAGATGGAGCTTGGCCCTCGAGTTGACTCTTCCTTTTTTGGTCTTGGTAGGATTTTGAGACCGTGGCAGAGCTCGGAGACCCGGAGCATCACAAATACCACCGTCTGCACCAAGTGTGGAGGGGCCGGCCACATTGCTTCAGATTGCAAATTCCAAAGGTGGGCCCCTGCCTAGAGTATGCGCACTGGATTAGTAGTGTTTACCTAGTACCTGCCAGGCACTTGCAGAGTGCTAGACAGTTAGGATCTTAGCTGATCCTCACAACTGCCCTGAAGGCGGCTACTTCTCTCATCCTTATTTTACGTGAGAAGACAAAGAGGGTGAACGCCTTGCCTAGAGGAACATAGCCAGCAAGGCTGACTTTGAATGCAGGTCTTCCTGCCTCCAGATGGAGCTGCGTGCCCTGTGGTCCTCTGTGTCCCCTACCTGCCCTTCGTATGTTAAAAGTAGAGGCAGTTTAAACTAAGCCCAAGCCAAGCTTGAGCTTGATCAGCTGAGCGAAGCAGGCCTTGTACCATGCTGTATGTGAGTCTGCTGAGTCCTCGTTTTAAAGCTCGAGTGATGGGAGCACCCAGCGATGGTGAACATCTGGGGGAAAAGTTGCATCGCTTCTAGTCGTTTCTTTGGCCCCAAGAACTGGGCCTTTCTCTCTAGAGATTATTGGGTGTTTGCATGGGTACTAAGATGTTCTGGTGGCTGCTAGAGACAAGTTTGTGGAGACCAGAAGTTTTAAGCTAATGATAGATGTGCCATCTGAGATTTCAAAACAGTCTGGAACTTGAGAGTTTTTCTAAAGACTATTAATAGCATTTACTTTCTAGATTTTCCCTTCTCTGGCAGTTAATTCAGAATTTGGGGGGCGCCCACTTTCCCAAGACGTGTAAAAGACCATTCTCTTTTAGCACCCTCTGTTGGTCCCATGGTTTGCGTGACTGTTCCTGTCAAAGTCGACAAACCTGGACGATCGTAGTTTGTTACGTGGAACTTGGGGGGTAGGCAGGTTTGGAGCATACTACTCTTTGTGTACTGTGAATACATAGAGGAAGATGACTGCATTTACGTGAAAGGCTCGGTTTGCACACGTTTGATCTCCCAGGAATTTCCGAAGTTATCGACAGGGTTGCTTGTCTTGTGGTGGTGGCATCCCATCGATGAAATGGGTGGAGCATCATAGCAACGCTAGGTCTAGCTGTAGCTGTGGCTTGAGCCCTTCACTCCTCTCTGATGCCCAAGTATGTGTGTGCTGACCTGGTGAGTTCCAAGGCCCTCAGTCTTTGGCATGTTGAGGAAGGGTCTCTTTTTTTCTTCTAGGCCTGGTGACCCCCAATCAGCCCAGGACAAAGCCCGCATGGATAAAGAATACCTGTCTCTCATGGCAGAGTTGGGTGAAGCTCCCGTCCCAGCTTCTGCTGGCTCGGCCTCCGGGCCTGCCACCGCACCCCTGGCCAGCGCCCCTCGACCTGCTGCCCCCCGCCAACAACCCACCGCCGCCGGTGAGTGCCAGCCATTTCCCTTTCTGGCTAGGTTGCTCTCTTCCCTTTGGGTTAGGTGGCAACAAAAGCCCGTTTTTCAGGTTGACGCATGGTGTGGTCACTTGGGCAACATTGTTCTCCCAGCTTGTCAGGTCATTCTAAGGGATAAAAGGATCTTTTGAGGTTCTCTCACCCTTGATTTTGGGTCCGGCCACACAATCTGAGAGAACAATGTTGCCATCAGCAAATGTAGGCAAGAACACAGATGGGAAATGCTCTCACGTAGTCTCTCATGTCCACTACCCAGAGCCGGCCACCGTGGATGAACTCGGGACCCTCAGAGAATCGTCCGTACCATGGCATGCATGGCGGAGGACCTGGTGGGCCTGGCGGTGGACCTCACAACTTTCCCCATCCACTGCCCAGCCTGACGGGCGGGCACGGCGGCCATCCCATGCAGCACAACCCTAATGGGCCCCCACCCCCCTGGATGCAGCCACCACCGCCACCGATGAACCAGGGGCCCCACCCACCTGGGCACCATGGCCCTCCTCCAATGGGTAAGTAAGTGTCAGACCAGAAACCTTGGGGATTTGGGTTAGGCGGTGGGGGGGGGGGGTCGTGCCAGGCCACTGTGAGAGTCTAGAGCAGCTCTTGAAGTGACTGGACTAGTAGACCGCATTGGGGCGTGCCCTTGGCATTCCATGGGCTTGTCGCTGGGAAGGAGGAGCACAGCTCCCATTTGGTCACGGGGAGCTGATCCCTGGGTTGGGAGGGGAAGGGATCAGCTCTTCTAGCAGGCCGGATATGGGGGTTTTCATGGGTCTGTTGGACCCTCCTACCTGGAATAACTGGAGTCCTGGGCTGCGGCTGTGGAGGTGGCAGTGGGGGCGGGAGTCTTATCTAGCCAGTGCAAATGTCCTGCTAAGTCCCTGCTCTTCCTTCCATCAAGATCAGTACCTGGGAAGTACGCCTGTGGGCTCTGGGGTCTATCGCCTACATCAAGGAAAAGGTAATGGAGCTGGGTGTCCGGCATGGGGGGGTACCCCCCCTCATGTGGCCACTCGCCTCCCCTGCCTCGGGAACTTTGAAGGCTGGCTGTGCCTGTGGTCTCACCCCTTTCTTCTGCCTTGCAGGTATGATGCCGCCTCCGCCTATGGGCATGATGCCGCCACCGCCGCCTCCCAGTGGGCAGCCCCCACCCCCTCCCTCTGGCCCTCTTCCCCCATGGCAGCAGCAGCAGCAGCAGCCTCCGCCTCCCCCGCCGCCCAGCAGCAGTATGGCTTCCAGTACCCCCTTGCCATGGCAGCAAAGTGAGTAGAAGATTCCTGGTTGTGGGGCTGTGGGGGGAGGGGGCTGTGGGGGGGGGCAACACGAGCCATCGAGATGATCTCACCGGGGGTGGGGATGGGGCGCTAGCGTCTAGAGTCGGGTGGCTTTAGGAACAAGGTGCCGTGATGTCTGGTGTGGCGTGATTCTGGCATGGCGGACGCTGAGGCCTCAGGGCCTGTTTGGGGCAGGCCTCGTTTTCCTTTCTGCTGGACCACTAGTATAGGCAGCAGGTGTGAGCCTGGGGTGCCTGGGGCGGGGCAAGGTTGGCTTCCCGTGAAGGGGGGCTCTGGTTGCATGGACTGTGGAGGGAAGTGAGACTGAAGGGCCGGCTGGGGGCGGGGCGGGCGCAAGAGCGACTGGTCTTGAGGTTGAAAGTGCCGTTGGTGGTGATAGGGTGGGAGGGCTGTCAGGGCTGGTTCTCGTGTGTTCCCCCCAGCCCTTACTGGGGCCTTGGTGACAAGGGGCTTTTTATGTGAAGCCCCAGAGACCTTTAGGCTGACCCCAGGGTACGTCCTGCCCCACCCCCGCCACTCCCCTTCCCCAGGACAGCCTTCCCGCCCCACAATGTAACGCATGCCGAGCCAGGAGCAGGCGCCCCCGGCCCCCAAATCCCAAGCCAGCAGCCGCAGAGAGCCGCGGTGTGCCCCCCCGCGCGTGTGACCTTGGGCTTCTTTACCACCCCAGATACGACGACTACCACCACGAGCGCTGGCACAGGGTCCATCCCGCCATGGCAACAGCAGCAGGCGGCTGCCGCAGCTTCTCCAGGAGCCCCTCAGATGCAAGGCAACCCCACTATGGTGCCCCTGCCCCCCGGGGTCCAGCCGCCTCTGCCGCCCGGGGCCCCCCCCCCTCCGCCGCCTCCGCCACCTGGTTCCGCCGGCATGATGTACGCCCCGCCCCCTCCTCCTCCGCCTCCCATGGACCCTTCTAACTTTGTCACCATGATGGGCATGGGGGTGGCGGGCATGCCACCCTTCGGGATGCCTCCAGCTCCCCCACCGCCTCCACCACAGAACTAGACTTGATTTTTTTTTTAAGAAAATATATATATATTATATATATATTATATATATATATAATTGGTCTCGTTAAAACACACGCCGAACCTCACCATATGGAGCCAGACATTGGGACGCACGCATGTTGTATGTGTGTGCACGCACAGGGCTGGGCTGTGCGAGGAAGCCTGTCCCGGGCGACCGAGGACTCGCTTGGGAGCAGGCAGGCGTTAGTAGGGGCGCCAGCTTGGGCTCTCCTGGCGCCCCGTAGCATCGAGTCTCTTCTTTGTCTTCTCTCTCCTCACCCAACTCCCCTTGCCCCTCCCCAAATGGGGCCGCCAGGATCCGTCCCCGCGGCGGTGGCCCGCGCCATGCGAGTGAGGACTTTCCGCGCCCATTGGTGACCCTTCCGGGGAGACAGCCTCAGCAGCGCCCCTGGTGGACGGGATGGTTCGGCAAAGCAGCTTGACTTATTTTTGTGGACGGAATCGGAACACGCTGGCTCCATATCGTGAATTTTTTATTATTTTTTTTCTTCCTTTTCCTTTGTATTTCCTTTTCTCTTGCTTTCCTCAGACTCCGTCCAAGGAGATGCTGTCCCCGGTCTTCCGCTGCAGTTACCCCCCTTTTCCTTCTTCCCAGGCCTAGATTGTTGGCTTTCTGTAGTACAGGGAGCAAGTGGAGATTTCCCCTGTGGTGTGGTGGGCTGGGTAGAAAGGGTATCAGGGGCCCAGGGCCAGGCTCCTTCCTTCTCGGCTCGTGCCTGAAGAAGTTGTGTCCAGCCCCTTACAGACCCCCTCGTGGGGCCGTGGCAGGGCTTTGCCAACTCTGCCTGCCCTTTGATCTCATTTGCTCCTCCTGCTGACAGAATGTCTTTCTTCAATTTATTTTAGTCCCAAATGTCTGAATGTTTTGTGGTGGGGGGGAGAGGCTCCCCCTCTGCTCCCTCCTCCCCCCTTCCCTCTTCATGGAGTGATTATGTGGACGATGATGTGTAAAGCACTCTTTTCTTCCTCACCGCTTTCTCTGCAGAGATTTCTTTTGGCCTATTATTTGGTGTACAATAAAACACTGCATTAAAAGGGGGATGTTCCATTGAGTAAAACAGCAGTGTGACTTTCTGGGTCTTTAATTTTGCCTCTCTTTTGCCTTTGAATGTTGCTCTGTCCCCCTAGCCAGTGTGGGACCCTACCCCCATGTAGGGTGGGTTTCTCCCTTGGGGCTAACAAAACTGGAAGACTTCCAGCTCCTTAAAGGCCTTCCCCTGGGGGTGGCCAGGCCTTTGGGATTTATGTCTGCGGGCAGGTAGCCACCCACCTGGAAGGCGCTGGGCCTCGGGGAGACATGAGCCGAAAGGTCAGGCTAGCTAATCCGGCCTGTCACGTCAGGCACACAGCAGCTAAAATTAACACTGCCGAGTGGCTTTTTTGCTTCTCTGGAGGCTGGGCAGAGAGGGAAGGCAGCTGAGCTCCCCTTACCTGGTGCTGCCATCTGGGGAGCATTTTCCAGCTCCCGAGTCTCTCAACCTGACTCTGCCCGGTCTAGTGTTCGTGCACCCACACACTGGCTCCAGGTGATTGAGAGTATCTCCCGCTTCCTCTGGGCCCGAGGCACATCCACCCTCCCTCTGGGGATACCTTGGATACACCATAGCTACCTGCTGCTGTTGTCTTCCCTTTTGGGCAGCCTGTGTCCCCAGGGGCCCTGGCACAGCACTACATAGGGCAGGGGGCCCGGGTACGGGCGCAGCTCAGGGCCAGAGCCTCTTCTGTGAAGGCTGGTGTACAAAAATCCAAAGCCGTCCCTTAGCCTGGGAGTGGTCCAGGGAAGCGCTTTCCCTTCAGTTTAAGCTTTAAAGAGATGAGGTGGGGGGCGATTCTGAAGTTTGCATTGCACCCCTGCTGCCTTGGTTTTTCTGGTGGGCTTGGGGTGGTTGATTAGCCCTTTGAAGCTCTGGAAGAGCCTGAGTGGCACTATGTGGGTTTTAGAAACAAAATCGATGGCTAAGCTGCAGCCTGGCTCTCTGGGCTGTGCTTCCCCTGGGGACTGCTGCACTCCTTGGGTTTATTCTCTCTGCTTCAGCTGTCAGCCTTCATTAAGGATTTGGTGAATAAGAAGTAGTCTGATGCCAAGCACGTGAATGGGGAAATTGAGGCAGCTGGAAAACACTGACTCCCTGAGAAGTTCCCTGGTCTGTTTTCTCCCGTGAAGGCAGTGCCAGGAATAGATTGAGGTGTTCTCTCCCAGACCCAGTCCTTTCTGAAATGGGCAAAAGCGTGAGATGAGAGGCGAGTGTGGCGCCCTCCTCCCCAGCTGGAGGACAAGCTTTGAAGTCCATAGTCCGGAAAGGGAGCAGTGAGCTGATACCACCAGGGAAAGGTCACGGCGAATTTGACACCCAGAGTCGGCCAGGACTTGGGGAGAAACCCAAGATCTACTGAGAAGCAGGTGCCGTATTTCCCGAGTACAGAAGATGGCTGAGCTCTGTGCAGAGGCAGCATGCTAATGCCTGGCAGGGCCAGGACTGAGTGAGACCTGCACCATGAGGCACCTGGGGTCTCACTGGGATGAGAGAGACAGTCTGGGCACTAGAGGGGCAAACTGTACATGGAGGAGGATGGGCCTTCAGGTGTCAGGGTGGGAAAAGCCTTTTCTGGAGCCGAGTGTTCCAAAGCAAACGTGCCAATGACAGAGTGGGGCAGCCAGGGCGAGCAAGAGAGGAGTTTGTCATCGGGGCGTTAAGTTTGAATTCACCAGTAGCCATGGGACCTTGAGGTTTCCTCCTGGGACCCTCAGTCTCACCTACAAAATACAGGGATTGGACCAGACAGAGCTCCAAGATTGCCTTTCTGCTCTAGTTCTGTGCTAGGTGGTCAGAAACTTTATTGCAGGGTGTGGGGACAACTCAGGCCTTTTTGGAGGGAGGGTTTGGTGGGGCAGGCGCAGAAGTTAGTCCTCACAAAAACTCGGCCTGCTTGGAAAAAGGAGCTGGATGTAGGCAAAACTAAACAAACAATAGGAAGTGTCCCATGACAGGCTGGGCACTGGGTTTGGACAGAGCTCTGTGGATTGCTGGTCTGGCTTCATGGAGGGTATGGGGAGGCCCATAGGTCCTCCGCAGGACTTGGGAGGCGGGGGCTGGCTGCTTCTCACTGGCCCTCAGTTTACTCGTCAGGAGAAAGTGAGAACCTCCGTGGTAGCCAGGAGGTCTTGGATCCGTGGGAGGCTGGGTGGATTTTAGCTGGCCACAAAGCCACAAATTTCAGGTAGTTAATTTTGACATTTTATTTAAAGTTTTGTCAAGAAACTCAGTCAAGGCTGCATTGCTTTCTGCAAGTCCCACATTTAGTCCAATGTTTTTATTTTAGAGATGGAAAAACTGAGGCCAGGCTAGGGGGAAGGGATTGGGCTCCTCAGACCCTGGGTGAGAACGACTTGTCCTGTGTCCTGAAGGCTTCCCTCCTTCCAGTCTCTTCCATATGGCTGCTGGGTCTAAGGCTTGGTGCTGCCCTGCTTAAAAATAGTCAGAGGTCCCTATTGCGTGGAAGATGACAGCCCCCCAGACTGGTTCTGGTGTGCTCTCTGCGCCAAGCTCATTAGGCTGCTGGCTAGACACGTCATTTCCTGCCGTGGGCTTGTCAGCCTACAGGCCATCCCCCATGTGCCCAGAAGAGGCTGTCCTTGTCACCTCGAGGTTCTCCTGGGGAGGGGCCCACCCACAAAGGCTTCCCTGATGGACAGACCCAAGTGATTGAATGCAGCCACTCCCACGCTCCTGTTACCGAGGGAAGAAAAGCAAGTTTCCTTAAAGGCTTTCTCCCTCCTCCAGGAGGGAGAGCGTTTCGTGAACCTCAGAACCTCAGGTCTTGTCCTCATTTTTATTGAGTAGGTAACAGAAAACCAGGGTCACACAGTTGAGAAATGCCAGAGGGGGCGATGAGCTCAGGTCCGGTGCTCACTAGAGCCAGGCATGCTGCCCCTCCAGGAGGCCGCAAGCCCCGTGATGCCCAGATTGTTTGCTGTCTGTTGCCTGGGCACCTCTAGGGCCCTAGCTGGTGCTCAGCAGGTTTGCCGAATTAAGAAGTTTGGGTCTCAGCTCTGCCGTAGATTCATAATGCCGCATGGCTGGCAGTCACTTCTCTGTGGGACTGAGTTTCGCCAACTCAAAAATCAGGCGTTTCCGCAGTTGCTTTGGGAGGATGGTGCTGGCAGAGGGCCTCCAGTCAAGACTGCTAGGAAGGCCTGGGGTGCCTGGGTCGGGGAGGCAGGAGGGATGGCGAGAGGGGACATGGAGCAGGAGCATGAGGGTGGGGTGCTCCCGGAGGAGGGCCCTGAATGGGAGACCCAGAGTGGATTTGCTACCAGGACCTGAAGGTAGAAGTGGCCCGAGGGATTGGTTTTTCCAGTCCCCTCATTTTACAGATGAGGAAGCAGGCCCAGCCGCCTCCTTGCCTTCCAGCATTCCAGTTCTAAAGGCCTTTTCCTGAACTGCAGAACTGTAAGGCCAGGAGGGCCTCAGTTTCCCCTCCTGGTCCCTCAAGCCCCGCTCCCAAGGGAGGAGACAGAGGCCCTGACTTGGCCAAGGGCACAGCTGCCTTTGGCCTCCTCAGGCTATCGCTGCCTCTCCTCCAGGCCTTAGCCCATCCCGTCCTCCAGTTTGAATTCCCCATCACAAAGGCCGAGCTGCACTCTGAAAATAACAGCGGTTACATGGCCCAAAGGGCAAAATGAAGAGGGGCGGGAGTGCCCAGGGGCTGCCTTGTAGCCCAGAGAGAAGGCCCCTGCCTCCCTATCCATAATGGGAGGCCTGCTTGCTGGAAAGTCACGGGGCTCAGGACCAGTGGCCAGGTGGATCCAAAGGACTAGGGAGGCTGTCAAGGGGCCATCTGGGAGCCGAAGGAAGGAGCCTCAGACTGGGGGCCTGCAGCGGGTGGAACGGGGCCTGGTGGCAAGGATACCTTGGGTAGGCAGGACTACGTTTCCCAAGGATCACTGCTGCTGGCTGGGGTGGAGGGGAGGCTTGCTGGGGACAGCTGGCTGGGGCCGGGGACCTGTAATTTGACCTCTCCTCTCTGAAGGTCACTGTATTTAAGGCCTTGAGGGACAGCGACAGGGGCTGCTAGGAGGGATTGGGTTTGGGGAGGGGGGGAAGGAGTCGGGGGCTCTCTTTTCAAAACATGTTTTTGGTCAGGGTGATGGCCTCTAGCCCTGAGACTTCTGCCCAGCCCTCGTCCCCCCCTCCTGCCTCCACAACACGCCACCTCTCTGAGACACGTGCCACTGAAAAACAGCAGACTCTTCTCCCTAGAACCAGTTGCCCAAGGGAAGAGACCTTGGTTCAAGGCTTGCTCTGCCGGGGTCTTCCTAGTTTTATGACTGGTTTAGCCCTGGCCTCCCTCAAAGCCTCAGTTTTCTCTTCTGAAAAATGGGAATGATAATCCCCAAAGCACCTGCTTCAGGGTGGTTGGGGAAAATGATAAAAGTGGAGCATTCTCATAGCATGAACTATTTAGTTTCCCTTCTAGGCAGAACTGGAGTCGCATGGAGAGAACTCAGGTTTTTTTTAGATCCTGACTCTGGCAAGGGCTAGCTCAGTGATCCTGGGCAAGTCACTTGACTCTGAATCTGTTTCCTCATCTGTAAAATGGAGATAAAGCCTCTATAGGAATTGTTCAGGGTGTCCAGGTCTCAATTCCAGATGTTTCCTTGACAATTCTGAACCACCAACAGACTTCCAAAGGAAAATCTACCATCATGACCCCAGGCAGCTTGCCCCCCTCCCCAGTTCCCTCTCCACCCGTCTGTCAGGTTGGTCCTAAATGGAGCGAAACAGCTGGACCCGGTGGGGTCCTTGGACCATGGCTGCTCCCCCCTGAGTAGGAGGAAAGCCCCACACCTGGCCCCTCTCAGGGGCTTTCCTGTCCCTCTGGCCAGGTCAAAAAACCACCAAGTCAGATGGAAAGATCATCTGTTTCCTTCCCTAGAGGAATCAGATGCCTCCTCCCTTCAATCTCTTTGTTCACAGCTGCTCACTCCACGTCCCTGGGAAGGAGATGGACAACAGACACCCTTTCCCAAATTTGGGGGCAGGGAAGGAAAAGGACCCCCTGGGCAGAGTGCTTGAGGCCTGGAGGAGAGGGGTCACGTAGGCTAAGATATGGTAACGGGCCTGGACAGCTAGACCCCGGCTGGGTGGAGCTGGCAGCAGGCTCTCGGCGCTCTTGCCCAAAATAACTCTTGGAAGGAGGTCCCTGCACCCTCACATTATGCATGCATGAGGGGGGGGGGAAGCTTGGTGAGCGGGCCATGCATAATGCATCAGGCCGGGCCTTAAAACCCGGCCCTGCTGCGGGCCACCCTGCACTCCCCGGCTCGGAGGTCCGGGCAGATTCCACCTGTCCCTGGGAGACTTCTGTCCGCCTGCCCCAGCCCCGTCCCAGCCTCTGCCAAGCTTACCGTCGCCATGTCTCGGCCCCTGTCGGACCAAGAGAAACGCAAGCAGATCAGCGTGCGCGGCCTCGCTGGCGTGGAGAACGTGTCCGAGCTGAAGAAGAGCTTCAACCGGCACCTGCACTTCACCCTGGTCAAGGACCGCAACGTGGCCACGCCCCGAGACTACTACTTCGCCCTGGCGCACACTGTGCGGGACCACCTGGTGGGCCGCTGGATTCGCACGCAGCAGCATTACTATGAGAAGGACCCCAAGGTGACTGGGGACCCCAGGGGCCAGGCTGGGGGCAGGGGCGCTTGGGCCGCAGACCTGTGGGAGGGGGACACTTGGGCTCCCACTGGGCAGGAGCAGAGGCTTAGGGAAGCCGTAGACGAGGCGGCCCATTTCTAGACTGCCTGAGACCTCCTCCAGAGCCTGACGCTGAGGTTCAGAGAGATTTGGAGGGCGCGGAGTGTCGGAGCGGCAAGGGGGCCTGGGGTGCCAGGGGACCAGCTCCCTCCTTTTACAGTGGAAGCAACATCTCCAAAGATGAAAGACTTGCCCAAGGTCACACGGCTGGGGCTTCTTTCCAGCCTCGAAGGCCCCCCCAGCTTGGAGCTGCTGTGCCCTGTGGATCTATTGCATCACCCCTCCTGGAGCCTCAGTTTCCCTTTTGTGACATGGCGGGGTTGGACCAGACGGCCTTGAGGCCCATTTCCAGCTCCGGCATTCCACGGCTCCATCAGCCCTCTGGGGTGACGGGTGGCACAGGGCAGCGTGCCAGGGCACAGACCTGGGGCAGGAGTGGAGTGGAGGTGCGAGATCTAGACCATGAGTCCCGGGGGTGTAATGTGGCAGAGACTAGATAGAGGTGGGCCCGGGAGATGGGATCCCGGGGCCGGCTGACCCCACTCTGGCCCTGAGCCAGAGGGACACATGGCAGAGGCTGTGTCTCGGGAAGCAGCTGCCTCCCCCCAAGGGTGTCAGGATCAGGTAGCAGGGGTCACTGGCAAAGGTCAGAAACATAACACTCCTCGGGCCAGGGGAGGACTGCGAGGAGGAGGAGGAGGAGGAGGAGGAGAAGCTTCCTCTGGGTGGGACCTGGAAGGGGGCAGGAGCAGGCCGGCAGCAGAGCTGCCTTTAAGGGGGAAAGGAGAGAGCCAGGGCCCAGGGTGGGAGGGGGCAAATCTGGGCCTGGACCCACCTGCCGAGGAAGGCCAGGCCTGGTGGGGCTCACCTGGGGGACAGGGGAATCCTGGCAGGCAGGGGGCATGGAGGGAGACTCCTAGTGGAGACCAGCCTGCCTCCTTGTCCCCAGCGCATCTACTATCTGTCCTTGGAGTTCTACATGGGCCGGACCCTGCAGAACACGATGGTGAACCTGGCCCTGGAGAATGCCTGTGATGAGGCCACATACCAGGTGTTCTGGGGGTATGGGGAAGTGGGACTGGGGGTGACAGGTGGCTGAGGAGACACCTTGGGGGCCTCAGGGGATGCCCTGGGGGCTGAGGGGATGGGGAGGGGACAGACACCTGGGGCTGAGGGGACAGACACCTAGGGGCTGAGGGGACAGTGAGGGGATGGGGCAGAGGGGACAGGGAGGGGACAGACACCTGCGGGACTGAGGGAATGCCCTGGGTCTGATGCCTGGGATGCTCTCAGGGCTGAGGGGGCTGAGGGAGTGCCTTTGATGCTCCCCATCCTAATTTTCTCCTCTACCTCTGTTTCCTCCCCTTCTATCTTGTCCAGCTGGGCTTGGACATGGAAGAACTGGAGGAGATAGAAGAAGACGCCGGCCTGGGTAACGGGGGCCTGGGACGCCTGGCTGGTGAGTAAGCAGGGCCTGAATGGAGGGCAGGCGGGAGCTCTGGGGGGGGCAAGCCTGGAGCTGGGGGGGGGGGCTCTGGAGGTCAGGGCAGCAGCCTGCTGGGCTCGCCCCTGTCCTGAGCTCCCCCCAAGGTTGTGGCACTCTTCCAGCCTGCTTCCTGGACTCCATGGCCACCCTGGGCCTGGCTGCCTATGGCTACGGGATTCGGTACGAGTTTGGGATTTTCAATCAGAAGATCAACGGGGGCTGGCAGGTGAGGGCCCTCCCCGCATGGACTCCCGAGCCCAGGGCTAGCAAACATCACCTGCTGTGGCCTGGTCTTCCCCCACCCCATCTGGGCCACCCCCCTGCCCTCCCAGCCCTCCCAAGCCCTCCGGCTTTGGCAAGAAGAGCTCAGCCCTCCGGCCCAGGGAGATGTCTCCCAGAAAGGGCCGAGGGCCAGAATCCCATCACCCTCCCCTGACCTCATTCCTTGGGGGCTCTGTCCCACCCTATGTCTGGCTCAGATGGAGGAGGCAGACGACTGGCTTCGCTACGGCAATCCTTGGGAGAAGGCCCGGCCCGAGTTCACACTGCCCGTCCATTTCTACGGCCACGTGGAGCATACCAACCAGGGGGCCAAGTGGGTGGACACCCAGGTAAGCCCTAGGGGCTAGACATGGGGGCTAGAATGGACTGGCACTGCCTGGGACATCTGGGGCCACCAGCATCCGAAATGTAGACGTGGAAGAGAGGGGCTCAGAGGCCGCCCCGCCCACCCAGCCCAGGCCTCTTCTTTTTTTAATGATGAAGCCCCCAGATTTATCATTGAACTAATAATCACCATTTTAAGAATAACTTTTTAAACTATAATTTTTTTTCCCTGTTAACAAAAACCTATTCCCCCCCCCCCCCCCCGCAGTAGAAAAAAGAAAAGGAAAAATGCGTAATTAAGCCAAACAAATTGCTACTTTGGCTACAGCCAAAACATAGCGAATGTTATTCTCTGGACTTGGGTTTATCATTGGGTCGACCTGAATTTTTAAGCCTTTTAAAACACTCCATATTTGACCAAGGATACCTTCTGCATCTTGAAGACTTCCAGCGACAGGGAACTCACTACCTTCCAAGGCAACCCATCTCCCTTGGGGACAGCTCTCAGTATTTTAAAAAACCAAGAAGCTGTCTTTTAACCCAATCCTTTGTTTTTGTATCACCTTCCCCTTCCAGAGAGTTGGGATGGGTCTAATTCATGCTGGACTTGGAGTCAAGAAGACCCGAGTTCAGATCCCTCCTCTGAAAGTAGCCGTGTGACTTCCCCCTTTTGTGGCTCAGTTTCCCCCTCTGTAAAATGGACGTGGTGGCTTCTGAGGTCCCTTCTGGCTCCAAATCTATGGTGCTGTGATAAGTTTCTCTTTCCATCTATGGAAATCTTCCTTTCTGGGATGTCTACCCCTCCACAGTTCCTCCCATTGCAGTGGGTAGGAATACGTAGGAAGCCAGAGCTCCAGGTCCACCAGGAGCGGCCAAGCGGTGGGGGTGAGCACGAGGCACTCTGCACACAGACGGGTCGGTACTTCTGAAAAACCTGTGCCTCATTGGTCAGCTAGCAAGCAGCATCTCCTCCTGACTGGGGATTAGGAGCTGGTTCTCAGAGAAGTCGCTAAGGCCTGGCTTCTGGTTGGTAGGGGTGGCTCCAGGTCTATTAGGTATTAATGGATCGTTAGGAATCCCTGTTTGCCCACGGTGAGGCCTGGCTGTCCTAAATAGGCCGCCGATTAGGTACTGGCGATTCCATCCTTTATCATTAACTGCCGGCTGTAGCTGCTGGTTAGCGCCTGCCTTCGGCTCATTCATCAGGGGCGTGGACGATTAATCATAACTAGTTGTGGTCAGTCACTAAAGGCTTCCCCAGCCCCCTGTGGGCACCAAGTCCTGAGCAGGGAGACGGCAGGAGAAAGAACATGGATTTGGGGTCAGAGAACCTGGCCTCTTGCTTACTTGTCCATTTGACCCTGGGCAAGTCCCCCTCCCTTCCTAGGGCCTCAGTTTCCCCATCTGTACAGTAAGACTGAGATGACGTTTGAGGCCTTTCTTGCTCTGGCTTTTTGGTTCTGGGTATGGTCTTGGTCTCCCTCTCTCCACCTTTGGGATTCCCAGAAAGAGGAGACCTTTTGTCTCAGAGCTGGTAGCCTGCAACCGCCAGGCACCATCACAGCTGAGGGAGGGGGAGGAAGGGACCTTGGAGGCTGTGCCAGGAGATCTTACCCCGGGCAGTGGAAGAACTTATGACCACTGGCTTCTGGTAGGGTCGCTGTCCTTTGTAACCCTTATTCTATGCATTTAAAAGTAATCCTGGCTTCACTGGACCATCCCAGGGGCCCCTGGACACACCCATACCCAAAGGTCAAGCTCTGTGCAAGCCTCTGTGGTCCCGTGCCCTGTCCAAAGAATAATGGGGATGTTCCTGAGCTCCCTAAAACCTTGTTTGTTGGGAGCACGTCCGGTGTGTAAAGGCCTTTACAGACCTCCTCTGTCTCCCATTGGACCCCACCATAAGCCTGGGAGGGAGACGTTTTTATTACCCCCATTTTGCAGATGAGGAAGCCGAGACTAAGAGACATCCGATCGTTTGTCTACGGTCAGTCAGTCGACGAGCATGCATTAAGTGCCTACTGTGTGCCAGCTAAGCACTGGGAATGCCGTGAAAGGCAAAAGACAGTGCCTGCATGTAAACAAATAGATTCGCATAAGAGAGATGTGGGGTGACCCAGAGCTAGTCAAGCTAAAAACATGCTGTGACTTTGGGGATAACCCTGCAGAGAGTTTAAATGGGAGGGAAGGAACTAGCCAGGTTGGGGGTGAGTGTGTCAGGGAAGGAGAATTGTGCAAGGTAGCGTTAGCCGGGTCCCGCTGACCCCAGCCCAGGGCTCGGTCCACCTCCTCTCTGAATGGAGAAGTCATGGAATGTCAGAGCTGGGAAGGAGCATCTAACTGTCTCATTGTACAGAGGGGAAAACCGAGGCCCAGAGTACTTTTTTTCCTTTTGTCTTTTTCTCTCTTTTTTTTTTTTAAACTTGACCCGTGATTCTCTTGGTGGGGAAGCTACGGTTAAGAGAGAGCAGCTCCTGCTGTTAGAGACTGATACACTTAGAAACTCACCAGGGGCTCTAAGAGGTTAAGTGACTGGCCCAGGATCACACAGTATGGGTTGGAGTGGGACTCGAACCCAGGACTTGCTGGCTCTGAGGTCCCTTTTAGCCCCTCTGCCAGTCTAGGGAGAAAGAGGCCTGGCTTTGAAGGTTGGGGCCTGGCTTCCAGCCCCAGGGGCCCTGGTCAAGTTACTCACCCAATGGGGGCTCCGCTTCCTCTGTAAAAAGCTCCCAGTCAGGGCTCTGATGATGTGGAGGTGGGGCTAGTCTGGCCAGGTGTCCTATTCTGCAGGTATTCATTTCACACCTGCTGTAGGCCTCCTTTCATTGAGATGACACTGCCTCTTGTGGTCATGTCATACAGACCTGTGAGCAAGAGCCCTCTGGGGCCTAGCACCCCTCCACCCCACTCCCCTGTCAGCCATGGGGCATTCTGGGGAGGGCCCCTGCCTGCACCCCTCCACCCCACTCCCCTGTCAGCCCTGGGGCATCCTGGGGAGGGCCCCTGCCTACACCCCTCCACCCCACTTCCCTGTCAGTCTCAGGGCATTCTGGGGAGGGCCCCTGCCTGCACCCCTCCACCCCACTCCCCTGTCAGTCCCAGGGCATTCTGGGGAGGGCTCCTGCCCTTGCCTGTCGGGGCCCCTCCTCGTGTGTGCAGTTCCAGGATCTATGATGGGCTGATAAGTGGCCCACACTGAAGCTTGGTTCATGGTCGCTCTCAGCCGCCAGAGATGCTATATATAGCCAATTGGCTATTGATTGCCCACGACTGGGGATTGATTGTTAATGGCTTCTGGATCAGGAGAGAGAGAGAGAAACTGAACCTCTGACTGCCTTTGTCTAGGGAATTCCCTGGTGAGGAAACTGCCTCCACCAATTTAGGTCTGCACCCCCTCCACCAACTTACAGGCTTTGTGAATTGTCCAGAGCCTCTTGGGAGAGGTTAAGTGACTTGCTCAGGGTCACCCAGACAGAAGGTGTCAGAGGAGGGATTAGAACCCAGCTCCTGCTGCCTGCTCATCAGTGCTTCCTTGACCTCCACAGAGCTCAGAGTGGGGTGGGTGGTGAGCCACAGAGTGTGGGTGCTTGGGGGTCCCACAGTGAGGAAGGCACTTAAAACACCAGATGTCACCATCAGCATTTTATAGGAAGGTCAACTGAGGTCCTGAGATGGGAAGTGACTCAGAACCTAGTGTGTCAGAGCTGGGGGGAACCTTAGAACTTAGAACATGGAAGGTACAAGCTGGGAGGAGGCTTGGAAGCTAGAACGTGAAATGTCATGGAATGTCAGAAGTGGGTGGGATCTTAGAACATGGAATGTGGAATGTCAGGAGTGAGAGGGACCTCAGAATATAGCATGTGGAATATCAGAGATAGGAGGGACCTCAAAACATAGAACATGGAATGTCAGAGAAAGGAAGGACCTTCAAGATTGTTTAAAGCAGTGCCCCCCCCCTTTTTTTTTGGCAGTTGGGGTTAAGTGACTTGCCCAGGACCACACAGCTAGTAAGTGTCAAGTGTTTGGTGTGAGGTCAGATTTGAACTCAGGTCCTCCTGACTTCAGGGCTGGTGCTCTATCCACTACGCCACCTAGCTGCCCCCTGCCCTCATTTTTCAGATGGAAAAAGGAGCCCTGGTGGGAGATGTGTTCTATCTTAGACATAGTGAATTAGCAGCAGAGTCAGGCCCAGGACTGCTGGGCCCTGGGCCCCAGTCTTGGGGTTATCTAGGCTTATAGGGATAACATCAGTGGCTGGTGGAGTTTTGCCTGGGCCCTGGGGGCTCCCTCGGTGTGTAACAGCCCCCTAACACACTCTCATGCCTCCAGGTGGTTCTGGCCATGCCCTATGACACCCCAGTGCCTGGCTATCGTAACAACACCGTGAACACAATGCGCTTGTGGTCGGCCAAGGCCCCCAATGACTTCAACCTCAAAGACTGTGAGTTTGCCCCTGGGCCTCCTCCCCACTGCTCTCCCCTGCTGCTCCCACCCACCAAGTGTGGCACCTCACAGAGCTGGGAAATGGGGCCAGGCCCAGGAGGGATGGGCTAGCCGTCTCAGGACTCTGGTGCCTCTGTGACACAGACCCCCACAAGCGTGGTTACAAAAACAGCTGCAGGAAGGTGGGGTGGGAGGGTTGGGGAAGGGGGGTTTCTTCTTGTTGGATAACAGACCATTTCCATCCCCTCCATGCTTCCTGCAGTCAACGTCGGTGGATACATCCAGGCCGTGTTAGACAGGAATTTGGCTGAGAACATCTCCCGGGTCCTCTACCCCAATGACAATGTGAGTAGAACCACCACCAGTCAGCACCGTGTCCCACCATGTCCCACCATGTCCCACAGCCCCTCCCAGAGCTGGAGATGGTGGTGACAGGGAAATGGGTAGAAGGAAAAGAGGAGGATGAACCCAGCCCACGGTGTTGGCTAGCAAAGTTCTGGGGCCAGAGCACTGGAGACTAAGCAGGAGGTGGGCGCTGGGACACTGGGTCCTTGAGGAACAGGAAAACTGAGTTACAGAAAGGCTTAGCTAAGGAAGGGGAGAGGCCTCCAGCACCCCCCGGTCCTGCTTGGGAGAGCAGCACCAGAGAGCTGCTACATCCTTCCTCTCTTCCCCAGCGGTGCTCCTAATGCCTGAGCCCCCCTCCATCCCCGGCTCCACTCACACCTCCCCTCTCCCCCGGCCCCCTCCATCCCTAGTTCCACTGACCCTGCCCCCCTCCATCCCCGGCTCCACTGACCCTTCCCCTCTCCCTCGCTCCCCTCCATCCCTAGTTCCACTGACCCTTCCCCTCTCCCCCCCCGTCCCCCTCCATCCCCTCTCCCCCCGCCCCCCTCCATCCCCGGCTCCACTGACCCTTCCTCCCTCTTCCCCCAGTTCTTTGAAGGGAAGGAGCTTCGGCTAAAGCAGGAATACTTTGTGGTAGCGGCTACCCTTCAGGACATCATCCGCCGCTTCAAGTCCTCCAAGTTTGGCTCCCGGGACCCCGTGCGCACCAGCTTTGACGCATTCCCAGACAAGGTAGAGCCCCCGCCCCAGACATTCAGACCCACCCCAATGGAGTCTGGGGGTGGGCAGGGAGTGGAGGGCCTTTGCTGGGGGGCTGGGGGAGAACGCACCCCAGCTACACCCCTTCTCCCATCTCTGTGGTCCTCTAAGTCTGGCATGTCCTTCCTCCCCTCCGGCTTTGTCAAATGCCCAGCCCCCTTCAGGGCACACTCAGCCTCCTGTGGGCCTCCCTCACTTGTGTGAACACATTTGTGTGCTTGCCTAGCTGAAGGACATCACCCTCAGGACGGGCTCATTTCATTTCTGACCTCGGCACTTGCACACACATGGTGCTTACTAAGTGCTAAATTGAGTGGGCATGAGGGAGCTCAGGGCTGACTCTACCTGCTCTTGGCATTTGGTCCAGGTGGCCATCCAGCTGAACGACACCCACCCGTCCTTGGCCATCCCCGAGCTGATGCGGATTCTGGTGGACCTGGAGAAACTGGACTGGGACAAGGTAACAGGGCTACCGGAGGGCAGGCGACCCCTCCCCGAGGCTCTCGAGGGCCCCTTTTCCCATTGCCTGCTGTTTATTCACCCGTGGATAGAAGTGCTCAGGGTCGTAGGAGGAGGCTCCATTTATGGCTGGAGGGACAAGCAGGAAAGAGAGACAGGATACACCAGGTCCCTTGCAGTCCCCTTACTACTGGCCTGGGCCCTGGGTGCTGTGGTTTGGGGGGATGATGCTCTCCTCGGCCCTTCCCCAGGCCTGGGACGTGACGGTGAGGACCTGCGCCTATACCAACCACACTGTGCTGCCTGAGGCCCTGGAACGCTGGCCGGTCCAGCTGATGGAGGCCCTGCTGCCTCGGCACCTGCAGATTATCTATGAAATCAACCAGAGGTTTCTCAATGTGAGTGCTGGGGGAGGCTCAACGTGAGCTGGGGAGGGCCCCATGGGGGGGCTCACGGTGCGGGCTGGCCTAAGTCCCCGTGTCCCCCGGCAGCGGGTGGCGGCAGCTTACCCAGGGGACATGGACCGGCTGCGGCGCATGTCACTGGTGGAGGAAGGTGTCGTGAAGAGGATCAACATGGCCCATCTGTGCATCGCCGGCTCCCACGCGGTCAACGGGGTAGCCCGCATCCACTCTGAGATCCTCAAGAAAACCATGTGAGCCCACCCTGCCCCTCTGGCTCCCAGCCCCCAACCCATGAGAATGGCATCCAAGCGGCTTGGCTCTGACCACTGAGCTACCCCACCCTCCAGGACAGGCACCGTTGCTCCCCATCCCCTGCGAGGCCGGGCGGTGCCCAGGCCTGGCGGTCAGCCTCTGGCCTGGCTCCGCCACCAGCTTAGCCTGTGACCTCCGAGGAGCCCCTTTCCTCCTGGGGCTAGCCCGCCCTTTTCCTTCTCCCCTCCTGGTCTCTGCAGCTTTAAGGATTTCTATGAATTGGAACCCCACAAGTTCCAGAACAAAACCAATGGGATCACACCGAGGCGTTGGCTGGTGCTATGTAACCCGGGTCTGGCGGAGGTCATTGCAGAGGTGAGGGGGCAGCCGCAGGGGTGATGGTGCAGATGAGGGGGCCCAGGCCTCTCAGAGGGAGAGTGCAGCTGGCAGAGGAGACAGTCACGCACAGTCACAGGCCAGGCAGATCTGGAGGGTGGCGCTTAGAACAGAGAATGTCAGAGCTGGGAGGGGCCTTAGAACAGGGAATGTCAGAGGTTGGAGGGAGATTAGAACAGAGAATGTCAGAGCTGGGAGGGGCTTTAGAACATGGAATGTCAGCTGGGAGAGGCACAGGGAATGTCAGAGCTGGGAGGGGCTTAGAACAAGGAATGTCAGAGCTGGAAGGGAGCTTAGAACAGGGAGTGTCAGAGCTGGGGGGCATTTTAGAGACCTCCTAGTTCAAGCCTCTTTTTTCACAAATGAAGGCCCAGAGAGGGGCTGTGACTTGCCCGAGACCACGCAGCTGCAAACCTTGCCAGGGCTCATTAGGAAGGTATCCATTGTATGGTCTGGGCTGGAGCACAGCAGGCAGGAGGCGTTGCTGGAGACTAGGTTGGGGTGGGAGGTCAGAGGAGGCCTCCCTCAGGGGCCCTGCACTGAGGAGGAGGAGGAGGGCACACACCCAGGGAGGCTCAGTCCTCCCTTCCCGACAGCCCCAGATTAAGTCTGGAGAGGCTCCTTCTTGGACTGGATTGTGCTGTTACGCTCTATATAAATTCTGACGTGGGAAGGCAGTATCCTCGGATAGACTGGAAGCTCCTGGAGGGCAGAGGTTGCAGCCCCAGGCCTAGTCCAGCACGCGGTCCATAACAGCTTGTTGATTGACAATGTGGTGCTCCCATCCCCCACAGAGGATTGGGGAGGACTACATCTCTGACCTGGACCAGCTTCGAAAGCTGCTGTCCTATGTGGACGACGAGGCCTTCATCCGAGATGTGGCCAAGGTCAAGCAGGTGAGCCGGGCAATGATGCCAGGGGGAGGGGACTCCTGGGGCCCACTGATGAGCTCAGGGGGAGGGCAAGAGCGGCGCTTGTCAATCCCAGCTCTAAGACCCTCCTGCCCTCAAGAGCTTACAGTCTAATACGATGTCATCCAAGGCAGACTCTGATGGGGATGTGAGAGAGCTGGAACATAGGGAGGTAGGGCTAGATCGGGAAGGGGAAGTCCTGGAGGGCTTCTCTGGGGAGGTGCCCCTGTGCCAGCCCCCAAAAGAGGGTTCATTCAGGAGCCCCCTCCGAGAGGGCACGGAAGCCCGGAACTCGAGCCACCCATCTCTCCGACAGGAAAATAAGCTGAAGTTTGCCGCGTATCTGGAGCGAGAGTACCACGTGCACATCAACCCCAACTCGCTGTTTGACGTCCAGGTGAAACGGATCCACGAGTACAAGAGGCAGCTGCTCAATTGCCTTCATGTCATCACCTTGTACAACCGTGAGCACCCAGTCCCCCCACCTCCCTTCCCTGGGGCTGCCCTCCCTCCCACTCCTTCCTTCCTCCCTTGCCTCCAGGTACCCTGGGGGAGAAGCAGCAAAGAGCCTGGCAGATGCGCGCCCCACCCCCACCCAGCCTCCCCCCAGCTCTGGGAGGGAGGCCCCCTTGGTCAGTTAGTCAGACAACAAACCCCGGAGCTAGCAGCCCCTGCCCTCAACATGCAGGCACACAAATATCTCAAAAGTTAAATAAGACATTTTTGAGGGTTGGAGGGGCTGAGCTTTAAAGGAAACGAGACGTTCTAAGAGGCCTCAGAGGCAAGTACTTTCTTGCCCTGGTTATGGGTACAGACTTAGGTGGTTGGTGGAGACTGTATGTCAGGAATAATCAGCATGCCAGTATGTATGTGTGTATGTGTGTGTGTATGTATGTATGTATGTATGTATGTGTGTATAGTATAAATAATATATATATAGTATATAATACAAATATGCACATGTCTGGAATATATGTATATATATTTATATATGTGTATATATATTAAGTCTGGAAAGGTATATTGGAAACAGATTGTGAAAGATTTTAAGGGCCAAACTGGAGTAGTTTATATGAGAGGCACTATTATGCCCATTTTACAGAGGAGGAAATTGAGGTTTAGAAATAGTGAGTGACTTGTCCATGATCATACAACTACTAAGTATCTGGGGACAGGACTCCAGCCCAGGGCCTCCTTCTGACTCCACTTTTAGCCCTCAGGCCACTAGACCATAAAACTTTCCCAGTAGTAATAATAGTTGACATTTATTTAGTTTCAAGTGCTGGACTTTTTGGAGTAAGGAAGAGCTAAGTTCTAATCCTACCTCTGACACTTACTTAACTGTGTGATGTAAGCAGTAGATTTCACCTCTCCAAGACTCAGTTTCCTTCTCTGAAAAAAATGAGGGTAATAACTCAGGCATTAGGACTCTCCCCCTTGGAGCTGTTGTGAAAAAACCCTACTGAGCTAACTGATAGAGCGGACTGGTATTACTGGTTATTGACAATGATCAGAATGAAGTCCCTGGGAAATCCCCCACTGGGGGAAGAACTGGGATTAGCTAGGTATGCCTGTGCAGCTTCATTTAGACTGGGTCATAGGGCCTGGAAAGAAAGCTCGGGGCAGGAGAAATAGTCTAGGACAGTGAGAAGACAGTGGTACTTGGAGTCTGAATCCCTGGGGCCAAGTGCTAGCTATGCTTTTCTGAGCCTCAGTTTATCATCTATAACATGGGTATTGTGACATTTGCATGACTGACCTCACTGAAGTATTGAGGGGAAAAAGCCTAGCAGAAGGGGGAGCCTCGTCCCTGGGGAGAGCTGGGGCTCTGTGGGGAAAGGCCGAATGAGGCAGAGTGTGGGTGTGGCTAGAGCCAGGAACACAGGCCCCAGCAGCAGGGCCTCGGGCCATAGGGAAGGAAAGGGTGGGGAGCCTACAGAGGGCTTCACTGGCCTCCCGCTGCTCCTCAGAGGCCACGGGGGCCAAGGAAGAAGGGGCGCAGCAGGGTTAGGCAGGCACCCAGAGCTCCCACTATGGGGAGCGTCATTAATGGAGAGATGACTCATGATCCACTGGGGGGAGTCCCAGGGGCTCCCTGTAGCCATGCACCCCAGGGACATGCCCTGCCCCACATCCCCTGGGAGGAGCCATCTGGTCCTCCTAGCGTCCCAGGAGCAAGGGAGGGAGGCCAAGAAGGGCAGAGGAGTGGAGGTGAGGGGGGGATCCAGACTGCACCCGTCGGAGGAGACGACTCCATCTTCCCACCAACCTCAGGGCTGGGTAATTCTTCTGGGAAACTAACGAGCCCAGGTCGTCACTGGTAACTGTCATTAAGGTTCCTCTCCTCTGACCCTCACGACCTGAGGGTAGAAGCTGCTCGATCTCCCTGTTACAAATGGGGAAACTGAGGCACAGAGTGTCGCCCACATCGAGGCAGCAGAGTCAGGCCTGAGGGACGTTATTTTACTCCAAGACCTGGTGTTTTTCCATTGTGTCTCTGAGCTCCTAGATGGGCCTGACTAGAGCAGGAGGAAGGAACAGGGATGAGGTTCAGGGGGTGACCCTCTCCTCTCTTTGGGCTGCTCAGTGCTTGAAGTCAGGGCCAGCCGCATGGGGGCTACTTGGGAGAATCTGATGTCTCTGCTGCTCTTTCTCCCTAGGTATCAAGAAGGAGCCCAACAAGTTCTTCATCCCCCGGACGGTGATGATTGGGGGGAAGGTGAGCCCTAACTCTGAAGGGAAGGGACTGCTCTAAGAGCGGGTGGGGGGTCAGTTCCTTTGACCCTCAGAGGGTCAGCACTGCCATGGAGGGCAACTTTGGGGCCCACCGAGGCAAAGCTGACAGGAGCCCCTAACTTCCCTGAGGGTTGGGAGGGGCATAAAGAGGGGACAGGACACCAGGGGCTCTGACCCCAAGTTATCCTCCCCCAGGCAGCCCCTGGTTATCACATGGCTAAAATGATCATCAAACTCATCACGTCCATCGGTGACGTGGTCAACAACGACCCTGTGGTTGGGGACCGGCTCAAGGTTATCTTCCTGGAGAATTACCGAGTTTCACTGGCCGAGAAAGGTCTGAGGCAGGGCAGGGTGAGGGGGTGCTTTCCATCCAGGTCTGCAGCTAGAGGAGGATAGAGCTCAGGACTGGGCATCAGGAGGCCCTCCTCAGACACTTACTAGCCGTGAGGCCTGGCACAGGTCACCAAGATGGCGCCAGTTTAGAATGAATCATGCTCCCGTGGCCCAGACTGGCACCCGATGTCAGCCTCCTCTCCTGTGTCTCCCTCAGCCCACACATCTCATCCGATGTCACCCTTCTGTACATATGCAGTCCCCACCCTGATGCAGGCCTCTCTCCCTCTTGCCTGGACTTCTGCAAAAAGCTGCTGGTGGTCTCTCCCCACTTGTGTCCATCCTCCACCAAGATGACTTACCATTCACCCCCTCACTCATTAAACTTCAGTGGCTCCCAGCTAGTGCGAGGGTCAAATCCAGACTTCCCAGGTCTTTAAAGCCCTTCAAAGCCTGGCCCCTTCTATCCTTCCATCCTACCCGTCTGGTCCTCTCACATGTTATACTCTCGCTCCCCTCCCCTTACGCTCTCCAATCCAGCTTCACGGCTACGTGAATCCCCTGGACCCTAACACTTCAGTGCCTGCTGGGGTGCTTCTGCAGGCCCGGAACGCACAAGACTTAGATCAAACTGCCCCTTTTCTGCAAGGCCTTTCCCCTTCCTCCCTTCGAGGAGCTACCTCCCATCCGCTCTGCACATAGCTTGGATGTATGTGTGTGTGTGTAGGCGTGTATATGGAATTACTTGTGTGTTCTCTGCCCCGTTTGACTGAGTTTCTTGAGGACAGGGCCTGCGTTTGCCTCTCTTTGTCTCTTCAGCACTTAGTACAGGGCCTGGCACACAGTAGGGGCTTAATCAATGCTTGTGGACTAATCTCATGGTCTTCTTAGTGTGTGAACATATGTGTGTATGTGTGTATGTGTCCATGTATACATGTATGACTGTCACCCAGTAGGTTAGCAGCCCTTCACAGCTTTGTCTTGGTTATTCGAGGCGTTGATAGGCCTAGGGACTGGCTCCCAGATGAGGAAAGTCTCCCCACCAGTGCCGGTCAGCACCTCCTCTGCAGAGCTGAGGACAGACCTCCTGAGCGCAGCCCTCCCATGAGGGAGCCGACAGCCTAGGACCCATCTCTCTCCTCTCCTCCTTCCCCAGTGATCCCGGCGTCAGACCTCTCGGAGCAGATCTCTACGGCAGGCACCGAGGCATCGGGTACTGGCAACATGAAGTTCATGCTTAATGGGGCGCTGACCATCGGCACCATGGACGGGGCTAATGTGGAGATGGCTGAGGAGGCTGGCGAGGAGAATTTCTTCATTTTTGGAATGCGGGTGGAGGACGTGGATCGGCTCGACCAGAGGGGGTATGGCGCTCTAGAGTTAGCTGGGGAGGTCATGTCCACAGGAAGGTGAACCAAATAGTGAATGCCAGGATTAGGAGGCGGGACTCCAATCGGCAGTAGGGAGCCATCGTTGGAAGGCATTGATGAGGTGGGCCTGGGCATGGGGAAGAGTTCATTGGCACTCTGAATGGGATGGATTGGAGCAGGTAGAGACTGGAGGTAAGGAGGCAGGGCTGGTGGAGGGGAGGAAGAATTGGCAAGACTTGGCAACAGATCGCCCGTGGGGGTAGGGGAATGAAGAGAGGGAAGAAACCCAGATAACCCTGAGGTGGAGCTGAGTGACTGGAAGGAGGCTGGTGCCCTTGACAGAATGGGGAAGTTGGGAGGAAGGGCAGGATCGGAGGACAGAAGGCGAATCCCATCTTGGGACAGAAGTGTGAGGTACCAGCAGGCTGCATGGGTGGAGACGTGGCCTTGGAACTCTGGACAGAGATGGGCCAGGCCTGGGAAAGGCAGAGGCTGGCCAAGGAAAAGAGCATAGAGGAAGGAGCTGCTCATGGCTTGGACAGGGGAGGGGGCACAGGGGCCTACAATGCATGGCCCTGGGTGGAAAGGATATGATCGGGGGAGCAGGGAAGAGGAAACAAAATGGGTTCATAACCCTCTACCTGAACTAGCTGCTGTGGGGGCTACAAGGGATATCAGACCAGGCCCTGCCCTCAGGGAGCTTCCACTCTGTTGGCACACAGCCAAAGGAAGGGAGAGGGCCATCCGAGTGAGCCAGAACAGTCAGGGTAGGCTTCCTGGAAGAAGCAGATGACAGTGAAGTGGGATCCTGGAGAGTGGAGGAGGGGAGGCTTCGGGAGGTCCAAGTGAACTGAGCCAGGGGACCCTCCCCAACAGGTACAATGCCCAGGAATACTACGACCGCATCCCTGAGCTCCGGCAGGTCATCGAACAGCTTAGCAGTGGCTTCTTCTCTCCCAAGCAGCCCGACCTGTTCAAGGACATCGTCAACATGCTCATGCACCACGACCGGTGAGCAGGGCCTGCGCATGCAGATGGGGGGTGGGGGGCGGTGTGCACGTGTGGGTGAGATCCCTGCGGTCCCCATTGGCCACGCTCGCTTAGTTCTGCTGGGGAAGGGTGGGATAGGACTTGGGACTTTGGAGTTCCAGGCTACCTGAGTGGGCTTGTGTACAAGGGGGAGGCGGGAGGGGGAAAGGACAATGGGCCAGGCCTGAGTCCCAGACAAGTCAGTGACCTGTTTGTTAGTCAGACATGCTCCCCTTAGTGCCTCAGTTTCTCCAACCATGAAGTAAAAGGGACAGAGCTGAAAAATCGGATCTGTCATTGATGGAGTTTCTAACTTCTCTCCTCTCCTCCAACTCCACATCTCCTGCCCCAATCTTGGCTTCCTCTCCCTCCCCAGTTTCAAGGTCTTTGCTGACTATGAAGCTTATATCCAGTGCCAAGAGAAAGTCAGCAACTTGTACAAGGTGAGCCAAGGACCCTCATGGGCTCCTGTGAGGGAGTGGGGGAGTGGATGTGGAGGGAAAACCCCGCTGGGGCTCCTGCCCAGGCTGCCCACGCTCTGCAGTTGAATTTGGAGGCCAGAGTGCCTGGGTACCACCCCGCCCCCCCCCACTCAGTGGCCTGGCTACTGGGGTTCCAAAGTTGGGCTCTTTGGCTTTCCTAGAACCCTCGGGAATGGACACGGATGGTGATCAAGAATATCGCCACATCGGGGAAGTTCTCCAGTGACCGAACAATTACACAGTATGCCCGGGAAATCTGGGGCGTGGAGCCCTCCCGCCAGCGCCTGGCGGCCCCCGATGAAGCGGTCTGAGCCGGGGCCTCCAGACACGGGCTCACGCAGTGCCTGGAACCTCTGCCTCCCCAGTCCCGGGACTCTGATGATTCGATCTGGTGGCATCATTCAGGGTCACCGACACTCCCCACCCATGTCCCCACTCCACTTGGTTGCTCCCCAAGGTTCTCCTCCCTAGCGGCCTCCCCGCTGTCACTTACGTTGGGGGAGGCCCTCCAGCCCTAGGGAGGGGCTCAGCCCAGAGCTCTTCCCCACCTTCTTGGGCAAAAACTTCACCAATTAAAAGTGTCACCGAAGGCCGACCTGGTCTGAGTGCTTTTGTTCTTATCCCTTGGCTGAGCGTGCGTGGGCAGGGCCTGAGGGGGGGGCCGTGGGGGAGGGAGTATTTTTAGCTCTTGGGTGGAGGGAGAGCAGCTGCAGGGTCACGCTCCAGCCCTAGCCCCACCCCAGACGCTAGCAGGTGCTCCCTAGCTGAGCTCGGCTGCGAGGCCCAAGGCCAGCCCTCCCCGTTCTGGCTTTCCGTCTCGCGTCCGTTCTCTCCCCATCTCTCGGCCTCTAGCTGCCTGGCCCCAGCACTGTGCCCATACTAGGTCCTGATCCAGGCTCTTGGGCTTGGGGAAGGAGGGGGAGCTGGCCTTGCCTCCGCCCCGTCCCCTGGGACTGGCTCTCCCTCCCGGCCTATTTCCTCTCGGCTTGGGGCGGGGCTGCACTGGGTCTGGGGCGGGAGGGGTCGTGGCGGGGTGGGGAATCGGTCCCTGCCCCCAACCCCCACCAGGCTTAAGTCTCCCGGTCCAAACCTCCGCAACCTCGGGGGTTGGGGCTGAGGGGCATGTCCAGCCCAGGCACCGCCTCCTGGAGGGCCAATAGGAGGAAGCCCGGCCCCCCCAAGCCCACTCGTGGGGAGGGGCGGGTCCTGGGGCAGGGGAGCCCCGGGAGCGGTTCTGAGCTCCCAGAGCCGTAGCGGGCAGCTGATCTGGGTGCGCCCTCCGGGATCGAAGAGGAAGGAGGAGACGCGGTGGGGAAAGGGAGGTTTGGGGCAGGTGGTTTCGTTGTGAGTACGTTGGAACCCCCAAACGGCCGGAAACCATTTAACGGTTTCCCCAGCCCCCAGTCTCACAGCCTGCAACCCGCAGCCCTTCTCATCTAGGCTGCACCCCATTTCTACCTCCCTCCCCCAGGACCCAGGCGTCCGAGGCTTCCTTATCAATGCCCTCTTCCTCTCCCTGCTGGCCTTTCTCAGGGGGACCCAGTCTCCTATCAGTGCCTCATCACCACCTCTAGGATGCTCCCACCCCTCGCCGAGGTCTGGGTCCCCAGTCTTTCATCATCAGTGCCCACCACCAGGCTCTCTTCTCATTGATGTATTCCGGTTACAGCCCCCAGTATTTCCCTAAAGGGAATTGCCCCACAATCACCTCTAGGCTAGCATCCCTTCGTGGATCAAGACGTCCAGGGCTCCCACTCCCCCATCAAAGAACTGTCGCCTTCTCTTCCCTGCAGGGATCCAGGCATCCAGGGTCCCCATTCTACCCTCAATAGCCCCCACCGCCGCAGGAAGCCAGAGTCAGAGCTCAGGGAGGGGGAGCCCCGTGGGAACTGTGTTTGTTTCGAGAACAGGAACCGGGGCCGGTCCGGGGTGTGGTGCCCCCCCCCCTCACCGCAGCCTCTTCCTGTCCCTCCCCCAGTTTCCTCCCGCTCAACCCCAAGCCAGGGGGGATGGGGGGGCTTCTCCAGGCTCAGCAAGGGCACCGACCCCTGTCCCCAATCCAGGGGTGCAAGCTTGGAGCCTGGAAGTCCTAGGTTGCCTCTGTCACCCCCCCCCCGCCGCTCCATGTGGGGGTCCCAAGCCTCTCGGCAGGAGATGGGTTAAATATCCAGCAGCGCCCCGCGTGTGCCAGGCGGGTGAGTGGCGTCGGGCACAGGCGGCAAGGCCGGGGGAGGGCGGGGGGGGGAGCCAGAGAGGGAGGGATTGAGGGGAGGAGGCGGCAGAGGGAGGGGGCGGAGAGAAGGAGATGCCGGGGAGAGGGAGCGCATTGGGGAAGGAGCCAGGGACGTCGGTGGTCCAGAGGCTGAGGCACAGCCCGAGAGAGACAGGGAGATCTACAGTCGTGCGTGGGAAGGGGACAGAGGGAGGGGAACCTCGGCGCAGCTGGAGAAGGGGGGGGGCAGGAGGCTCGAGAAGGTGCAGTAGCGGAGCGGAGAGGACGCGATCAAGAGCAGAGGAAGACAAGGTGGGGAGGGGAGGAGGAAGAGGAGGAAGGCTCCGCTGCCTCTAGCCACTCGGGAGCAAAAGCCTGAAGGGGGCAGTCACTGGACCCCAGCGGAGCCCAGGGTAAGCGGTCGATCTTCCACCAGGGGGCACTGGAGGTGGGGTTGGGATGTCGCAGGTGGGCTGCTGCAGGACTCCCCTTTCCACCTGGGACCCACCCTGGCCATGGCACGTGGGAGGGCAGAGGGCAGGTAGCATCAGGGGAGAAAGCTTAGGGAGAAGGGGCCCAGAAAGGGGAGGGGCTTTGGCTTCTAGGCTTGGATTTGGGGCAGGAAGGCACCTTTTGGGCTTGTCTGGTTCCCTGATCCCACTCACCTTAGGGGAGACAGAGCTCAAATCCCAGGGAAGGGTACTGGAAGGGAACATCCTAGGGAGAGGGAAGAGCAAATGAGGGGGCTCCTCTCTGGAGGGAAAGGAAAGGGAGAGATTCTCAAGGGCAGGAGTGGAAGGGTGTCTCACCTGAAGAGTAGGGGCCAGGGGCCTTGGGTCAGATGGGAGGAGTCTTTCAGGCTGAGGAGAAGAAGATAGGTCTAGGGATGGGGTCCCATGACCCATGGTCCTGTAGGTGTGAGAATGTGTCAGTGTGTGTGTGTGTGTGTGTGTATGTGTGTGTGTGTGTGTGCAATGGCCAATTGTGTATTTGTGAGTTGTGGGAGAATGACGTCCACACTGTTCACAGAGTGCCATGGCCTAGTCTCTGTGGGCCCAAGTCTGGGCCTGCACGGGTGCACCGGTGTCCTGAAACATGCCAGTGTAACTATGGGCCTCTGGCACTTGGCTATTAGGGTAGTTATCCTGCCTTGGGGCTGGGGTGAGGCAGCCCTGCTCCTTAACCAACCCCAAATGGCCTGGAGAAAGGGATCTGATCTTACGATCCTAGAGGTAGATAGGGAAGGGAGCTGGGAGTCTATTTAGGTCCACACTGTTCACTTTACAGCCAACTGAGGCAGAGATAGGGGAGAATCTGGCCCAAGGTCACACAGATAGTAAGGGGGCAAAATGAAATTCAAACCCACATCCTCTGGTTCCAAGTTCATTGTACTTTTTTCTACCCCACACTGCCTTCTCAGGTGGAGGAAAGAGAAGTTGGGCCAGTCTGAGCCTCTAGGCAAGACCTGTGGATTTAGGACATCTCCCTCCCTCTCCCCTCCGTGGGCTTGGCTCTGGACTCTGAGGTCTCAGGACTTTGGGCCCTTCATCTGTCTGGGCCTCAGTTAACTCCATAAAATGAGGAGGTGGGGTTAGGTGCTCTCACGCATCTTCTCATCCAGATGCCTGAATTGGGAGGGGAGGGGAGATGCTGGATTCCTAGGCTGTGGTGAAAGCCTAGGGCTTGGGAGAGCTGGCTGACTGGAGGGGAAGGGGGAGAATTCTTGAGATCGGGGCTCACTCTCATTTTGCCTTGATCCCATCTTTCCTCTGCGTGTGTGCTGGGCCAGCAGGGATGCTGGGAGCTGGGTGCCTCTCCTAGAGCTCAGCTATTCTAGAGCTCTTGGCTTGGAGATGTGGATGGCTGGGATGGGAGTTGGGGGAGATACACCAAACCTTCTACTCCTCTGGGACATGTGGGGAAAGGGAAACACTGGTTGGACCTGGGGAGGGGATCCGGGCTCCGGAGGGCAGGCCACCGGGGTTTCAGAGAGGGCAGGAGCCTTTAGGGGTACAGTGGGCTTGGGATCAGGCCACGGCTCATCCTTCCCAGGCTCTGGGCCTCCCTCCCACTGACTCATCTGTCCTAGGCCCAGGAATGTGTCTCTCTACTCTCTCGGCAGGGCAGGCCCCTGGGGGCTCTGTCCAACCCATTGTCTCCAAGCTTCAGGCCTGGGGAGGCCTGGGTTTCTTTTCTCTCTCTCTCTCTCTCTCTCTCTCTCTCTCTCTCTCTCTCTCTCTCTCTCTCTCTCTCTCTCTCTCTCTCTCTCTCTCTTCTCTCTCTGCCCCCCTCCCCTGGCTCTGTCCTCCCACCCACTGGGGGAGAAATTCCTCTAAGGCTCCTTCAGGCTCCCAGTTCCCAAAATAACCCTGCGGGGGCAGGGAGGCTGAGGAGCTTGGGAAGCCCTGGGGGGTGGGGAAGGAGGGGCTGTGCTGGGGCTGTGGGAGGCTGCAGGTGCCTTCTGGAGATAGGAGGAGGCCCTGACCCCTCCTGCTGCTGCCTGCTGAACCCAGGAATCCTAGAGCAGTTTTGCTGCTTGAGTCCTTGGTGGATGTGGGCCTCCCTGGTCAGCTCCTCCATCCCTCTTCCCAGTCCCAGCCCCACGGACCCATGGCCCCCCATCCCCCTGCTCCTGTCCCGGAAGCCTCAGTAGGGAACATTTCTCCAGCAGAGGGTTACACAATCCCTGGGTCACAGACTGTTCAGCAGAACTGCCCAAAGGAGGGGGGATCCTGGTCCCCCTCAGCTGGGGAGGGTGAGATAGCAGGGGGTGGCTCCTCTCTTCCCACCCTGTTCCTGTCTGCAGGGAAGCTCTTCCCCAGAGGTAGATGCCTCCTCAGTAATTTTCTCTCTTCTAGGGGTGCAGGGGCCCTGGGTCTGAGCCAAGTGTTCAAGTCTCCCTGGGGACACAGCCAGGACCCTGGGACTTGACATGTCGGGGACACTGGATCTTGAGAAGGGCTGCACTGTGGAGGAGCTGCTGCGGGGCTGCATCGAGGCCTTTGGTGAGTTGGGAGAAATAGGTACCCCAAGGCCTCCATCCCTACCAGCTCCCAATGGCCTCCAAAAACTATACTGGGCCAGGACCCTTGGCTTAGTGGGACTGGGGACAGATGAGTGAGGAGGGCAAGAGGCAGGATTAGTGAGTTTTAGACTTGGAGTCTTAGGGCCGGATCTCAAAACTCATTCTGCCGCTGGCTTGCTGTGTGGCCCTCCTAGGACCATTTCATTTCCCTGGGCCTCAGTTTTTCCATCTTGTCAAGTGAGAGTGTTTGCTGCAATGATCTCCAGAACCCCTCTGACGGTCTATGGTTCTAGGAGGGAAGGGTCCAGAGGTGACTCAGTTCACTGGGGGATCCCCTTTCCCCAGCCGGATTGTTTGGACACTATTTGTGCTCCCGGGGCTCCAGGAAGTCTCTGTCTCTGCTCACGGGGACTGTTTCCGGTTGATGCGGACCGCTTATCTGGGGGGAGACAAGGGGTATCCTCCCTTGCTCCTCTCCCCCCTCGCCCTCAGGAAATGGCCTCTGGATTCCTGACCCCACTGGAACCCAGGCTCTTTCCGCTCCAGCTGGGGCTCTACCTTCCCGCCTCGCATCCCTAACCCTGGAGGCCCTGGGGGTGGGGTGGGGTGGCGGTGGCTGGGTTTGGCCTGCTCAAAGACAGGGTATGGCCACCAAGCCACACCCACGGGGCAAGGTCCCTGGGTCGGATGGGCAGGGCCAGACCGCTCCCCAAGGGTCTCTGAGTGGGGTGGCACTAAGCCAATTCACCACCGTTACTCCCCCTCCCCAGATGACTCCGGGAAGGTGAGGGACCCCCAGCTGGTGCGTATGTTTCTTATGATGCATCCATGGTACATCCCGTCCTCCCAACTGGCTGCTAAGCTACTCAACGTATATCCTTTCCTCGGACCCTGGCCCCCACAACTCCCCCCCGCGGCGGCCCTTTGCGTTTGTCTAGAAACCAGCCTCTCCCTCTGTCCCCAGGGCCGGGTTTCTGGCCTTGCTAGCGGAGGCAGGCAGCGGTGTAGAGGATTGGGAGATCAAGGACCTGGGTTCCATTTCTGGCTTCGCTCAGAGTGGCTCTGGGAAAGTCCCTTCCCTTCAGCTTGACCGGCTTTTCTTCTGTCACACGCATGTAGGAGGACCCGGCCTCTGAGGTTTTCCTCCTCCCCTGTCTCTGACAGTCCATGGACCCGGCCCTGCCGTTGCCCGTCCTAAGGTCCTTTCCAGCCCTGCCGTTCCCCATTCTCTGCTCTAAGGTCCCGACCAGCTCTAAAGCCTAGGATCCCACGATCTCCTCAGATCCCAGGAGTATTGTCCCCATCGTTCCCCTCCATTTAGAGCCTGGGTGTGTTGTCCCTAGCCTGCTTCTTTTCATAGGATGCAGGGATCTTGTCATTCATCCCCAGCCAGTACTTTGTAATAACGAAGCACCTACTATGTACCAGGGATGTGGCTAGGAGTCAGGGAGAGAGAAACAAACTGAAGGACTGCATTCTATTGGTCCTTCTCAGCTCGAAATCCTATGAATCTGCGATTTCTCAGACAACACTCATTTAACCTCTATGGGCCTCGGTTTCCTCACCTGTAAAATAAGGGGTTGGACTAGATAGCTTCTGAAATTCCTTCCTATTAGCTATGATCCCGTGAACTCAGGAGTCCTGTCCCCAGCCTTCCCCTCCTGTACCTCCGTTTTCCTTGACCTCCCCCTTCACCTACCAACAATCCCGGAAGGACAATTCCAACTCCCTGCAAGTGAAGACCTGCCACCTGGTCCGGTGAGTGCCACCCCGGGGGCCTCTCCTCCAGACGGCTCCTAGGTTTCCCATCCCATGCGGCCCAATGTACTGGCGAGTGCCGGAGCACATTTGAAGACTACAACTCCCATCAATCCCTGCGACACCCGCCACCCAGGCTAATGGCCCCTTTGGCTTGAGGATGACGGGAACTGTAGTTCTCTGAGGTCTCGCTGGAGGGAGCGGATCAGACGGGTCGCCCAGGACCTACCTGGGAGGGGAGGGGACGGTCAAGATCACCCTGCTTTGTTCCAGGTACTGGATCTCGGCCTTTCCCGCCGAGTTTGACTTGAACCCAGAGCTGGCAGAGCAGATCAAAGAGTTGAAGTCTCTGCTGGACCGAGAGGGGAACCGACGGCACAGCAGCCTTATTGACATCGAGAGCGTGTATGTGTGCTGGGTCTAGGCACAAGCCGCTGGGATGTTGGGGGGGCGAGGTGGAGTCTGGATGCCGACAGCCTGCCTCTGCTCACTGCCTCTCAGCCCCACGTACAAATGGAAGCGCCAGGTGACCCAGCGGAACCCAGTGGCTCAGAAGAAAACGGAAGATGTCACTGCTGTTTGACCATTTGGAGCCGCTGGAGCTGGCCGAGCATCTCACCTACCTGGAGTATCGCTCTTTCCGCAAGATCCTGGTGCGGGCCGGGATCCGGGCCTGGGACGGGGCCGGGGCGGGGGAAGAGGGGACCTGGCACCCAGACAGCAGTAAGGAGGGGGTGGGTCAGAGGGCTGCGGCTGAGGGGTCAGAGTAACAGGGGCGGAAGTCACAGAAGATAGGGTTAGTGTGGGGGTGGGGGATGCCTGCAGCAGGACCGGGTGGATAGCAAGAGTGGACCCCGCACCAGCTTAATGGCCCTCATGTGGCTGGGCCTCGGAAGGAAGGCGCAGAAGTGGGGGTGGGGGGAGGCCAGGCCTGATGGGAGAACTCAGCCCTGCTCCGTCGTCATTCTCCAGTTCCAGGACTACCATAGCTTTGTGACCCATGGTTGTACAGTGGACAACCCCATCCTGGAACGCTTCATCTCCCTCTTCAATAGCGTCTCCCAGTGGGTGCAGCTCATGGTGCTGAGCAAGCCCACAGCCCCCCAGAGGGCCCAGGTCATCACCCACTTCATCCACGTGGCTGAGGTGCTGACCCACATCCTCCTGCCCACTCTCTATTTCCCTTCCCTGGATTTCCTACTCTCCCAATCCCCACCCCTACCCCTGAGCCCCTTGGGCTGACAAATAAACCTCTGGGAAGGGTGTCAGGGTTTGGGGGAGAGCCATCAGCTCTGCCCCACCCCCATCCCCTTAGAATCCCTCCCATTCCCTCTACTGAGTGAGTTTGGAGGGTCCCCTGGATCATGCTTATGGCTCACTCTCCACCTCTCTTCTGTGTGCTGCCTTTTCCCATTCTTCCTTCTATCTGCCTTTCTGCCTCCTTTTGTCTTTTTATGTCCATGAATCCTTGTAATCTATTGATGTACCCTTCTGTTTATTCCACCATCCCTTTGTCTTTCTATTTGTGGGTCCGTCTGTCCCTCCTTCTGTTTGTCCATCCACTTATCCATCCATTGATGTATTTAATTGTCTGTTCCATCTGCCTATTTATCTATGTGTTCTGCCCATCTCTGTCCATCCATCTGTCTCTCCATCTCTCCATCTGGCCATCTGTCCTTTTGCCTGTCTGCCTGTCTGTCTTTCTGGCCTTTTGTCCACCCATCCTCCGGTCTTTCTGTCTCAATCTTCCTTCTGGCCTTCCTGCCTCCTGGTCGTCTGGCCTCTCTCTCTGCCTCTCCTCTGCTCACCCCATCCTGGCCTGGGGCCAACAGAAGCTGCTCCAGCTGCAGAACTTCAACACACTCATGGCTGTGGTCGGGGGCCTGAGCCACAGCTCCATCTCCCGACTCAAGGAGACACACAGTCATGTCAGCCCAGACAGTGTCAAGGTATGGCCTGGGGGAGGGGGAGGAGCAAGACGTGGGGAGACGGGTGGGAAGAGTCTTATCTGACTCCCGCCTCTGACGGGGAGGGGGAGACGGGGGGGGGCGGGGGGGCTTTGACCCTCGCTCCAAGCCCAGCTTTGGAGAATGTTTGAGGGCAGACAGAAGGTGCAGCCTGGCTCTGAGTCCTTGACCCCTGAACAGACTGATTGTGCTGGTAATGAGCAGGTGTCTGGGGCCTGAGTCTTTAGGTGCTGTGACTCCTGGCCCTTGATCCCCCCCAGCTCTGGGAAGGCCTGACAGAGCTGGTAACAGCCACCGGGAACTACAGTAATTATCGTCGCCGGCTGGCAGCCTGCGTGGGCTTCCGATTCCCCATTCTGGGCGTGCACCTCAAGGACCTGGTGGCCATACAGCTGGCCCTTCCTGACTGGCTGGATGCGGCTCACACTCGGCTCAATGGGGCCAAGATGCGCCAACTCTTTGCCATCCTGGAGGAGCTGGCCATGGTGACCAGCCTTCGACCACCCATACAAGCCAACCCAGACCTAGTGAGCCTGCTCACGGTGAGTGCCTGCTGGGCCCTGTGCTTCGGGTAGGCCGTTAGGTGCAGAGCTCAGGGGGTTCGCTCTGGGCTGGCTTCTGAGCTACACTCGCCACTGGACTGAGCTGGACCCTGTTCCGGATTGGGCTGAGGGCCACAGCCGGTCCCAGGAATGTGACTGCTCTAATGCTTTCCAGGTGTCTCTGGATCAGTACCAGACCGAAGATGAGTTGTACCAGCTGTCCCTGCAGAGAGAGCCACGTTCAAAGTCCTTGGTGAGCCAGGCCCCGATCCTGCAGCACTGACCCTCCCTCACCTCCTTCCTACCCTGTCCCTCCTGGACCCTCAGCTCTCTGCCATTACCCTTGGAGTAGCCCTCGACCCTGTTTCCCCTCACCTTTAACCTGAGCTGGGGGGGCTAACTGGCTCAGGCCTTGACTGTTCCTGCAGCCAACTAGCCCGACAACCTGTACTCCGCCCCCACGGCCCCCTGTCCTGGAGGAGTGGACTGCAGCTGCCAAGCCCAAACTGGACCAAGCAGTGGTGGTGGAGCACATTGAGAAGATGGTGGAGGTGAGGCCCAGCCCCAACCTGAATCCCTGGAGCCCCACCCTAGGTGTCCAGTCAAGAAGCAGGATGTTTAGGCTGGGAAGGAAAGACTCAGGGGAGCAGCTTAGCTGTCCTAAAGGAGACTCTGAAGGGTTCTTTGGCCGAAGAGGAGGGCTTCAATTTATTCTGCTTGGACCCCCAGGGCAGAGCTCGGAGCTGTGGGAGAAGTTGCAGAAAGGCAAATTTCTTTCTTTCTTTTATTTTTTCCAATGAACAAGAATCTATTTTCTCTTCCTCCCACCTCCCCCAACCACCCTACCCCCGCCTTGGGAAAAAAAGAAAAACAAAGCCCTTGTATGAAATATGCATAATCAAGCATAACAAATTCCTGAATTGGCCATGTCCAAAAAAGATCTTCAGTCTGCATCCTGAGCGCATCACCCAAGAGGCAAATTTAGACCCCAGAAGGAAAAGCTTCCAGATAATTAGAACTGTCCAAAAGGCTGCCTCCTGGAGGCAGTGGGTTCTCGCATTCCTAGGAGTCTGCAAACAGTAACTGGATGGATGAGTTGTTGGGGATATTTTAGAGGAGATATTGACTTGGGTCCTTTCCAGCTAGCTCTGAGCTTCTGTGACGCTGAGAGTGGCCCCTTGAAAGACAGGACCCAACATCCCCTCCCAGCCCCAGGGAGAGCAGGGACAGGACGCATACCCAGCATCCTCTCCCACATTGATCTATCTGGGCTCTACCTTGGCTTGAAAGTCCTGCCTTTAAGGTCGAGGGGGCTGTGGGGGCCTGGGGGGAGGACATTGGGCCCCCTCACACTAGCCTAGGTGGCTGAATCTCAAGGGAGGTTAGAGGGCCAGAATACGGGAGTCGGGTTGGAAGGAGGAGGTTGTGTCTGACCCTATCCTCTATGTCTCCCTGGGCACCCATCAGTCTGTGTTCCGGAACTTTGATGTGGATGGGGATGGCCACATCTCCCAGGAGGAATTCCAAATCATTCGAGGGAATTTCCCTTACCTCATCGCCTTCGGGGACCTCGACCAGAACCAGTGAGGCTGGGGCTGGGGCTGGAGAGGGGGCTGGAAGGCAGCTTTAGTCTCAGCCTTGCTGAGCTTTGGTCTTCTCACACCTGTGAAATGGGGACAACTCTTGCTCCGTGTGTTACTCATAGGGTTGAGGGGAGGATGAAGAGTGAGCAATGGTACATGAAGCAATCATTTCCAGGGAGTTCGGAGCCCCTACTTTGATGGGAATGTAATAGGCTCCAGACTGAGCTGATCCTTCCTAACCTGGACTAGCGAGGGAGGTGGAGGAACCAGGCTGAATTAGCTGTGGAATATCATTAGACATCTCCTTGTTCCCGGAGCTAGCAGCCAACAAAGTGTTGGCAAAAGGTCTTCTTGTAGGCCTGCTTTAATGATGGGATAAGAATGGTCCGTAATTAGCAGCAGTCCTCTGCCTACTAAAATCCTTGAGAACCAGTTTGTCCTCTTAAGTAGGTTAAACATGTCCCTTGTATTAGCATTCAGAGGATCGGATTGTGAAACAAACCCTTTTGTCTGAGGGGGGCAAAGGGAAACCCAACATTCCCAAGTTCTGAATTTGGCGTTGGGGGAGAAGGAGGGGAACGGGTCTTTTTAGTGGCGATGTCTGCCCTTGGGGTGGAGGGTTTAGCTCTGACTCTGCCTGCTTCTCTGCTGCAGGGATGGCTGTATCAGCCGGGAGGAGATGGTCTCCTATTTCCTGCGATCCAGTTCTGTGCTGGGGGGCCGCATGGGCTTTGTCCACAACTTCCAGGAGAGTAGCTCCCTGAGGCCAGTTGCCTGCAGGCACTGCAAGGCCCTGGTGAGCCCCCTCCTCTTCCCTGCTCCCTCCTGGCCTTAGCTCCCTCCTCAGTTCCTAGTTCGGCCCACCCAGACCTCAGAAGTGAGTCAAGATGCAGCAGGTGAAGGAGACTGTGGACCTACCTGGGGATGCCAGTGGATATGTGAAGGGCTGTCCTGTGGAGGGGGGATTAACCTTGTGTTTGGCCCCACAGGCAGACTTCGGAGCGGGGGGAATGGGTGGGGCGGGATGCGAAAAAGGCAAATGCAGGCTTGATGTCCAGAAGACTTCCTGATTGTTGGAATTGTCCCATAGTTGAGAAGGTTCCCTGTCATTGGAAACCCTCAAGTGTCAGGGACTCGATGGTGGGGTGCAGGGTGGTTTCTGGGGATAGAAGAGAGCAGCAGAGAGAATCCGGGCTGGTGTCTGGCTAAGGACTTTGACCTTCCATTTCAGATCCTGGGCATCTACAAACAAGGACTGAAGTGCCGAGGTGAGGGGAGGCCTGGGGGGAGGGTGTCCACTGGGGAGGACCTGAGTTGTGGGTGGAGGGACAGTTGTCCGAGAGGCTGAGGATGTGGGGGAGGGGCGCAGACGGGACCTCTGGGGGCATTGAACCTGGCCTCTGTGCCCTCTCCCCAACCCCGAGTCCAGCTTGTGGAGTGAGCTGCCACAAACAGTGCCGGGATCGCTTGTCAGTGGAGTGCCGGCGCCGGGCCCAGAGCATGAGCGTGGAAGGCCCACCTGCGCCCTCGCCCACACATGCTCCCCTTCGAGCCTTTAGCTTTTCTCTGCCTCGACCCGGCAGGCGAGGATCCCGGCCACCAGGTAGGAGGGGGCCCTGATTTTATCTGGGTCTTGGGTGTCCGAGGAAGCATGAATTTCTCTAGCAATCAGGGTCATCAGGTCAGGACTTATATTTTGTCTGGGAGGTGTTTTTCAGTAGAGCAAGGAGCTCTTATTTTGGTGGGGAAATGCATGAGGAAAAGACCTGCTTCTGATGGTAGCCACCTACCATGCTTTGTGATGGGAGAGTTCAAGGGTCTATCTGGAAGGGAGGGAGGGATGGAAGACTCAAGGTACAGGGGGTGTGGGGGGGGGACAGAATGGGGCAGAGCTCTTAATTTGTAAGGGGACAAGGAAGTAGAAGTTGGTTGGTAGGAGCCACTAGCCCGTGCATCCCTAAGCTCTAGAGGGAAGTGCCTGTCCCTCTCTGATAAGACTCCTGGCCTCTGATACCCCACTGTCCCCAGACTGGGCCCCATCCTGTTTGTTTTAGTGATGGGAAGGATCTGGAAAGCCTCTCAGTGGGCAAGGGGGAGGTACCTCCATGTCAGTGAGACCAGGGCATCCTTGACTGTCCTCTTTCCTCCCTGGGCACTACCCTCAGCTCCAGAGATCCAAGAAGAGGGGGTTCAATCTGTGGAAGATGGCGTGTTTGACATCCACTTATAACAGGTGTGACCTGAGACCCTCCTTCTAGGGGAGTCCTTTGGGGACAGGGGCAGAGGATGGCAGTGAGGGGAGACTACAACTCTCCTGGGGAGGTGGGATTCCCAGAATCACAGGCTGTCAGTGGGGAAGGACTTCAGAGACCAGTTGTCTCCCCCCTGCCCCCCAAGGGGCCATCCCGGCTTTGCTTGGGAGCCTCAGGTGAGAAGGAGTGCCTTCCTTCCCAGGGCAACCCATCCCGCTGCTTGAAGCCCCCACTTACCTGTTTGCAGGTCTCCTCTGACTTCTCTTTTTTGCAGCGGCTGTGTCTGGGGCATGGACCTAGCCCTGCTACTGAAGGGACGCAGAGCAGACCAGAGCCATGGACCTACCTGGGAGAGCTGAGGCTGCAGCCAGGGCTGCTGTGGGGGGGAGCTGAAGGTGGGGCAGAAGGGCATGGGGCCACAGGGAGCAGAGGGACTTCGGTTCTCCCAGGCTGTACAAACTCTTGTGAATATTTGTATTTTCCAAATGGAATTAAAAAAAAAGGCTGATTGGATCGGGCATTTTACAACTTAAGGTCTTGGGCTTCTAAAACTGGAAACCTGCAGCATCTTAGAACCTTTGACTCACAGCTCCATAGACGCTTAGAACCTGCACCATCTGAGAACCTTGCAGCCAGAGAACCCTTGGTAGCATCTCAGAATGAGAAAGAAGGAAAGCTTAGGAGCTATCCAGACCAGCTTCCCGCTCACTGCAGGAATTCCCTCGACAGTGTCCCAGACAGCAGGGGCCACCCAGCCACATCCAGGGAGACGGAGCTCACTAGAGGAAACCTGGGGGGGGGGGAGAACGTGGGAGGCTTGGGCTCACGCCCTTGTAGTCTGATCAAGTGCTGTCTCGGGGGCCTTGGGGCTGGGGGTGGCACAGACCCCTCCAGGGTTTCCAGTTCTCTGGTTCTCCCTGCCTTGTACGGACACACACCCACCCACCCACCTCAAAGCTCCCTGGCCTTCATCTCCCAATGACGACCCAAGCGTCCTGTCCCCTGCCCTACAAGCCAGATAGAGAAGAATGATTTCTAGAGGAAATGGGTATCGATCCAGGGCTCCTTGCCTCCGGCTGGCCCCTGCCTCCCCCCTGGCTGCCCCGGGCAAAGATCCCAAAGGCTCAAGGTCTGGGATGTGAGGGTGCCTGGTAGAACCCTAGGGATGGGGCCCTTTGGTGGGGAGCTCACAATGGGCACAGGGTTGGAAGGGTGCTTCAGAACCTAGGCTGCTTCTCAATGGAAGAGGGGGGAATGTCCTTTGGGGGCTCCCTCCCTCCCTTGTAGACCAGTATTCCCCTTTCCCCAGCCCCTGGGATGTGCTTCTGGGAGGCGAGGCTCCTCTCCCAGGCTGCACCTGCAGATGTGGCAGGATTCTTCCTAAGTAGGGGGGTCATGGGGGAGGACCCCAAACAACACCCCCACATGACTTTCTAAGATGGGGGCAGAGGAAGTTCATTCTCTGAATAAGCCCTGTCTTTGGCTTTCTCCTCAGACACCCCAACCTTGGCTCTGCCCCTACTCTCCCTGTCTGCTCTGCATTGGCCCCCCCCCAGCTCTCCCCTCCCCCTCTCCCGGCTGTAATATCCGTTTCACGACTTGGGGGCCGAGTTGCTATAACAACAGACGGTGATTGTGTTGTGAAGCCTTCCCGCTCCTGCTCCCCCTCTCCTGGCAGCTCTCCCTCTCTGCCTCTTTCCCCCAGCCTGAGCTAACTGCTTCCCTTTCCCATTGGGACCCTTAGCTCCCCTTCTTGCAGACCCCTCAACATCCCTCCCCCGGGCTCTCCACCCTACCTACGTGTATGTGTAGGGGCCTGGACTTTGGGAACTGTCTGAAGTGTCCAGTTATTTCAAGGGTGGGTGCCATGGTGACCCCCTCCCTTCAGTAACCTTGGGCGGGTCCAGGCCTGGGGTCCTAGAGGACAGGGGCAGGGGAAGGCAGGCTTCTGGGTCTGTGGGGGCAGGCAGAAGGGATGAAGGAGGGGCTGCAGCTCCGACCTTTCCTGCCCTTGATGGTTAAGATCAGCTCCTGGAGATGGGGGTGGGTGGTGGGGAAGGACAGTGGAGGAGGACGTGGATGGCCACAGAGACAAGGAGAGGAGAGACAAATGAAAGAGGACGGGGGAGGGGGAGGCCAAGGTTGAGAGGAAGGAGAGAGCCTGGCCTCAGCCCCTCTTCTCACATCTTCTTCCAGGGCTCAGCCGGGCCGAGCTAGCCAGCTGATCCTTGCCCAGAGTCAGGGTTCTCCAGTGTGTGTGTGTGTGTGTGTGTGAATGTTTGTTGGGAGGAGGAGATTAGGGGAGACAGGGAATTGAGGGAACCTTCAGAACCTCAGAAGGGATTGTAGTATGTGGGGACTAAGGAAGTGTGGGGTGCAGGGGCCAGGGCCTGTAGAAGGGGGGACTTTCACAAGGCCTGCCACTTGCTCTCTCAGCCCCCCTGACTCAGCATTCTTACTGTCGAGCTCCCCTCAGGCTGGTCCTTGGGAAGGGGAGGGCTCTCCCCAAGGTCATGGTCTGCTCAGAGCCTGGGAAAGGGCCTAAAGAAAAACACCTTGACTTGGTAGTGCAGCACCCACAGGGGAATGAATAGGATAGGGATGGAATGGGGTGCTTGGAATCACCCCCTACTAAGTTCCAGGTCAGGCATTACACTGGCCTCTGGGTTTGTGTTAGAGGGAGGTCTGGGTGAACCCTTCTCCCTTTGCCCACTCTGAAGAATGGAGAACCAACCGGCTGAGGCTAAATGAGTCCTTGGGACCCTGAGGAGAAATCAATGCAAACCCTCTCCCTGTGCTCAGACTGACATGGTCACAGTGTCCCATGCACTGGGCCTGGCCCATGAAAGCCCTCAGTGGGGTGCTGAGTGAATGAAACTGTGCCACATCACTGCAGCTACAAAACACACACACACACACACACACACACACATCTACACACGTTGGTATAGACAGACACACACCAATGCAGACACTCTGATGCAGATACACGGATGCAGATTCCCACCCCCTCCCCAAACTTCCCTCCCTCCCTCCCCTCCAGCAGAAAGATGCAGAGCAGACGGACAGACAGACAGACACATAGAGCCGCTGCCCATCTTGGCCCCTGACTGCAGGGACTGGGGGAGAAGGAGGCAGGAGGAAGATACTTCCCTCCCATTCTTCCTGGACCCCCCTCCCATTTCCCCTCCTGGGCCTGTTTGGGGAATCCCAGCTCGTGAACAGAGGATTTCTTGGCCAGGGAGGGAGAAGAAAGCTCCAGATACTTCCCAGGCCGTCTCCTCCTACTCTGACTCGGGGACTCTGAGCCTGGCTTGCCACGACCCCCACCCCAGGGGCTGCTCCACAGCACCTCCTCTTTCTCCCTAGGCAGAAAGAGAAGAAAGGCCTTTCAAGCCCAATTCAGAAAGGCCTTCCTGAGTGTGTGTTTAGGAGAACCAGGGATGCAGGTGGGACAATGTAGTCCACTTAGGGGCTGCCATGGTCCCTATCCTCACTCCTGCAGCCAGATCTGGGGTCCCTGTCATGCTCTGCAGCAGCAAGCCTGGAATATGGGGGCCGGCCAGAGTGTGGGGGTGGTGCTCCCTGCCCTAGCCTCCGCCTTCACCCCAACCCCTCGTTGGGGGTCTGGAGCCTCTGGCTTCCCCCGGAGAGGCGGGGGGGGGGGCACAGTCGCTTCGACGCCACCTCCACATGCGCCACTTCTTCGGGCTAGGGGTCCCTGGAGGGGACCAAGGGGCAAGAGGTCAGGGAGGGGCTGGGGGCCAGGACATCTGGGTTCCAGTACCAGGCGCTGGGGCCAAATGCCTCCCCCATCCTGGTTTACGAAGGGGAGGCAGCAGGGAGTGCCTTTCCCGGGTGCCAGGACGCCTGACACCGAAGCGCGGGGAGCTCGGAGCCCAGGACGCCTGGCTTCGGTGAGCAGTCTAAAGGATGAGGGGCTAAGGATTGAATAAGGAGGTGGGGGGAGAGAACGGCGCTGCTTGCAGTCGCCCATTGGCCACGCGCCGTGTCCGTCCGGGCCGCGTGGCCCAATGAGCCGGCGCGGGGGGCGGGGGCGCGGGCGCTGGTACTGATGCTGCCGTCAGTCGCTGTTGCAGGGATGCGGCGGCGGGAGCAGCCGCCCTGACTCCCTCCCTGACGGAGCATCCTCGGAGCAGCACCGCGGCGGGACTGGGGAGGGAAGGAGAGAGGAAGCACGCGCCAGCTCCGGGCTCCAGGCTCTCCCTGACCCCCCGCCAGCCAGCCAGCCCGCCCAGGACGGGGTGGCCCCAAGGCCTGAGGCACCCCCAGGTATGGGGGGGGCTGCGGCGGAGAGGGGCGGGGGCCTGAGAGGGGGAGGGGGAGAGGGAGGCGCGAGAGCACGGAGGGCGGGGGGTGGTGGTGGTGATGGTGGTGGGAGAGGCCGGGGTCTGGCTGTAGGGGCGGGGGAGCAGCTGCGGGGGGGGCGTTTGTGAGAGGGGGACTGAGGGGGTCAGGAAGATTGGAGATCTAGGAGAAGGCTGGGAGGGGGGGAACGCCTGGATGGGAGGGGCTGGGTTTGAGGTGGATGGGGGGGGTCTGTATGCTGAAGCGGGTAGATCGGGTGCGTTGAGAGACTGCTTTATTGAGAGTCGATGGATGGGGGACTGATTTAAAGGGTTTTCCCTGGAGCTGGATGGGGTGCCGGATGTTTGAGCCATAGAGGACTCCCCCAATCTGAGCCCCCTCCCAGCTTGTGGCAATGCCTGGAGGAGGAAGGGAGGAGGGGCTGTTGTCTTTTGAAGGGTCTGCAGAGGAGAAGCTGGAAAGGACCGGGATTAGTAGGAAGGAAGGAGAGATTGTAATAGAGGGAAGGGGGAAAAGATTCAGGGGAGAAGGGAGATGGAGAAATCACTGCCTTCAAACCGATGTGGACTGGGAATAACTGGGGAAGGAGAGCTAAGTGGGGGGGCAAAGGAGAAGGACACATGGAATCAGGGAGAGGGGAGGTTACCAGGAAGGAGTTGGGGGTGTCTCCCAGGCAGAGATGAGGGGATGGACTGAGGTTGAGAGCAGGCAAGACTGGGGTGACTGAGAGAAAGGAAGGAAGCTTGTGGTCTGGGCAAGGATGCAGGGGGAGGAGGAGGAGAAAGAGAAGGAGGAGGAGGACTGGGAGCAGAGTGGCTAGGAGGGCTTGACTGGGGAAGTAGGGAGCTCTGGACGAGCTGATGTAGAGGAGAAAGGCTGGGGGCGGCTGGGAGGAGAAGGTTATGGGCAGAGAAGGCTGCAGGAAGAGAGGAGGAAACAGCACCTCACTGTGCTCCCTCTGTGGGAGGAGGGGGAGGAAGGGAGGGAGGAAGAGTCCTTGGGAGCCGTGGAGAGCAGGTCTGGTGCTGAGGAGGGATGAGGCTGAGGGTGCCTGGTGTTCCTCTGGGAGGGAGGTATTAAGAAAGGGGGGGGAAAGGGCCTCTTTCCTGGGGGAGGGAGGCAGCAGATGGGGTGGGGTGGGGAAGGAGCAGAGGCCGAGGCACTGGGAGGGCATTGTGGGCTGGGGCTGCCTAGGCCTG